AAAATATATCGAGTAATTACTTATTATTATTAAACATCGCAGTTTTATTTGAATTTTGAACTTTTTATATTCTAAAACGCAATAAGATCCGCCGCTCCCCAGTCGTCGAGTTTGAGTTTCCGAATTTTAATTGAAAACTTTAATAATACCTTAAAACCCGGATAGCAGTAGCGTAAATATGAATTAGGGATGAAACGTGAATAATGAAATTTTCAACTGGAGTAGGATTATTTTTAAGGGAGGGGGCTATCATTAACCAAATCGGTTTAACAGTTTACCAAATCGGGAAAACTACCAACTATAAAAAAATGTTTAGTTGTGTGTCTTCAATCTTAATATTATATTTGAAATTCTCTATGCAATTTTCAAAACCAGCTACGTTTTTTTTTTTTTAGCGAGGATCGAGATTTAAACAGTTTTTACAGTTAAAAACGTTAATTTTGATGGAAACGACGTTATACCATATGATTGCCAACCGAATAATGAATATTTCCTAAAATTTCATTACATTATATTGTAATACATAATTTTTACTTACCACATTTGATGAGTCATCGGTAATATTATTGTCATCTTCGGTGAAATACTAGGCATTGTTTTTTAAAGGAGATTTTTGGCAATTTGGCCGAGAAAATATTTAGTGATTTTTCTTGACACGATAAGAACATCTGCAAAGTGCCATGATAAAAATTGTTATATAATCGCATTAGGCGTGAGTAGGCTAGGTTATCATTATTAACATGTTATAGGTAGACCTTCCAAGCAGGACCTGGTCAAGCAACACTCTCGCAGCTCTTGACAAATGAAATGTAATTACTATGTCAGACTTTGCGTTACCTTTATTTGTTCAATATTTTGCGATCTTGGTCGGCGCCAGATTGTTATCTGCTCGGTTCAGCCCAGCTTTCATGACCGTGTAACACTTTTTAAGGCATAATCGGCGTTGATAAATGATACCATATAATAGCATAGTGATTGTGTGATAACAATTTTTCAGAAATAAACAAAGGATATTTAAATATTAGCATAAAACCTCCCACAAAAAATGTAATGCGAAGATATCAATTTCCCTAATCTCCCTCTCCACTACGCAGCGCTACTTAAATACTTCTATAAAAACAATAGACATACAAACAATATCGTGAAAAAAATCTTAATTCTATTTCTTTCTTCATCTGAGGCTTTATAATTATTATATTCTATTTATTATTATTAGGTATTAGGTATGATGTCATTACTCATTTAGGACATCACGTTTCTATACTAATCTATTAAGTATCATTGGTTGACTATATTTTCTAATACGCATTAACTTTATATAAACACAAGTTATCCTTGTGCTGTACCTATTTTTCTGTTGTTTGTTACATTTACTTAATTTTTATATTAGTATATAAGCTAAGCTTTTATTATGTATAATTGTCAGTCAGTTAGTTTGTGTTTATCTATGATACAGTCAGTCAACCATTAAATATTAAAGTGCTTATTTTATTATTATTAAACAGTTTAACTTATCTTTATAAAGTGTTTATTATATCTGAGTCTATTTTCATTCTTATTATATATGACCAGGGCCCACAAGTACGCTACTAAACGAATATTATCAATTATCATACAGTTTCTTGGTGAATTTAGTGTACATACTAACGAGAATTTTTAATTACATACTTGTAAAATCGCTTATTTATTAATAAAAACCTCTATCTACAATAAAAACCTATGTTTTTATTATGCATAAGGTTTCTTAATAATTAAGTATTATTCCACAAGTAACTTAATTGAATCTTATAATTTATTATTTTTTCCAAATAAATTTTCCTAACAATAATTATTTATAAAACATTTAATTAAAAAATAAAAAAATTGTATTTTTAAAAAAAATTTAAGCAAACTCTTCTGAGATATTTTGAATATACTCGGGAAAACTTTCCACTCTAACAGGGAGACGAATGGTAGTCCATGAAAATGTTTTTTTTTTACTCATTTGGATCCGATATGAAAGGCTTCAACATAAATTTAAAAATAACGATCGCTTTAATTAATACACACATAATATATACAACAAATGCCTCGATAATGTTTCCAATAACGATTTTATGAATTCCGTAAAAAACAAGTTTTTGTTCGTTTAAATATACCTACATGAAAAAACATAATTTAAATAATATTTTAATTGAATTGTCGTTTATCAAACACTTTTATTCCCTATTCCAATTATAATTTGTAGTATATTTAAAGAACTTTGCTGGTAGTGTTTTAATTCAGTATCTTATATCACTATTGGCAGTACCACCTACAAGTTGCAGGGTATAATGCGAATGACTGCACGCAAATAACCAATCGCAAAACTATATTATAAATTATTATTTTACAGTGACATAGGTTCGGGTACAATAGTAAACAACAAAGTTGTCGAAAACCCAGTTTTTTTTTTTAAACTCCTCAGTTATCAGGCTGCTTTCTGGGCAACCGATGAGGACATTATCTCAATGTCCCGTATTTCGGGTTTATTGTATTCGAAATAACTATATTATACAGATGCTCACATCCCTTTCTCTTACAAAGACTGAATAATAATGTGTCGAATGCACCTTACACACAGCCCCGGTCGTATCATACGGCCCGAATAACATAACATAATAATATATTCATATTGTTACAACCACATTCCCTATTGAAACAAGTGCCTGGTCACCGCTACCCCTTAAGCTTAATAGGATTTGGGTCGGCGCCGCTGGAACAACCTCGACTAATATTATTATTGTCCGCCCGCACGTGTATGCGCCCGTATCATCGACCTATATATAGGTGCGCGTGGACCACGCATTCCGCCCGCCCCTTGTCCGGAATTAATTTGAATCAATATATATATATAGGATTCTGACTGTTAGCGCAATCTGTGACCTCAACGACCACCGCGCAACTAAACGGTTACATTTTCTGTTCGCGGCTTTAGACAGAACATAATAATATAGTAGAACTACTACTGTAGAAGATGCCTAGATCCTACAAACAAAATCGCCGAATAAGACAAAATGCACTGCCGAACCCCTCGAGGGAGGCGAAAGGGTCTGCCGCTCTCCATATTTTGCAAGTAATCTAAATTCCAATACACGCAAAATACGAGTAGCTATCAAAGATTCTTCTATACAGATCACTTCCAACGGAAAATGCATTACACGCGATTTTCTTTTGGGTGGATTTCCGAATCACCCAGCCTTATATGAGTGCACTTTTTGGAAATTTGACTATAGTAAAGCAATAGATACATATTAGTACCCTACACATCGTTTATAATTACTGAAAGCCAGTGGTTCATTGTTTTACTGTTGGTAGACTTGGAAGTGGATTATTTAACCAACAGTACATTTAATAATATGCAGGCCCGTCCACAGAGGGATGGGGGTCAACGGGACCATTTCGCTCCAGGCGGCTCCCAGCTTAAAGGGCCCCTGGGACCCGACCCTTAGTCATAAAAATATAAAATACTTAAGACGTGTATAAAATAAACATGTATAGTGTCTATAGGTCTTAGTTTCTATTCCCGTCGATCGTCACCAGGGTAGCAGGATTATCCTACGTTTTGATTTTGATATTCACAGAGACAAAACAAAAAACAACTGGCTAGCAGGTAATATATTTAGGTAATATCACGAGTCAGGACCCGACCCTTTGTCATAAATATAAAGTATAAAAGACTTGTATAGTATAAACATGTCGTATAGCCTACAGGTGAATAGGTCTTAGTTTCTATTCCCGTCGACCGTCACAGGGCAGCGGGATTATCCTACGTTTTGATTTTGATATTCACAGAGACAAAACAAAAAAAACTGGCTAGCAGGTAATATATTTAGGTAATATCACGAGTCAGGACCCGACCCTTTGTCATAAATATAAAGTATAAAAGACTTGTATAGTATAAACATGTCGTATAGCCTACAGGTGAATAGGTCTTAGTTTCTATTCCCGTCGACCGTCACAGGACAGCGGGATTACCCTACGTTTTGGTTTCGATATTTACAAAGAAAGAAAAAAAACAACTGGCTAGCAGGTAATATATTTAGGCTAAACCGGGGCTCGACCCTAAGTCATTAATATAAAATACAAAAGACGTGTATAATACAAATTGTATATTGTATATTGTATATCCTATAGGTCTTAGTTTCTATTCCCGTTGACTGTAACAACTAACAGGGCAGCGGGATTACACTAGCCATTAGGTACATTTTGATTTCGATATTCACAAAGAAAGAACAAAAACAACTGTCTAACAGGTAATATATGTAGGTCATACCATTGAGCATAGATAATATAGTAAATATAGTGTAAACAGCTTGCCAAATTATGGATGTGTTAGAAATTAATTTCCGCTACTACGCTTAATCGATACTTTAATCCATTTAAAACCAACAGGCAACTGTAGCGATAATGCAAACCGTGACAAAATACATATTAAACAGTGTAATATTCGTCAAGTGTAACAACCTTGTCGGAGTAGAGACAAAACACGTTTTTACTATAAGTATCATTTACTCACACCTGTCAAAAATTGAAATATCATACAATATACACACAGCATTCCGATTATAAATTACAGCCAACATAGATACATTACATATTTAGTAGGTATATAATCTTCACTTAATATTTCGACGAAATTATAAGTTTTTAAAAATACTAAAAATCTTGACAAGTTATTAAAAATCTAAAACTACTGGTTAAGAAAATTTCAAATTCTTTATAGTACTTAAATTTCCAAAGAATAGGTACCTGCTTAAAAATTTGTTCAAATAGTAGAAACACAGAATAGAAATTGTATAGCTAATCACGGTAAAACGGTTAACGATATTAGGTATAATATCACTGAATACCGAATAGATTATCAAAGACAGAATGCCTTATCAGTATCTAATTGCCGGTGTTGAAATAATAAAGCAGCGGAAATTTTCCCGCCAATGGACAATGTGTTATCACGTATTGTCACAAAATCAAAAACTTAAAAATCAAATTACATTTTCTACTTTCGGCAACATTTTTATACTTATTTCAAACGCCAATGGCCATTTACAATTCAGATTACTACGATTAATTAATTACTATTAAGACTATTAATACTCCAACGCGACGTGCCGATTGTGTTCATCAAGTCATGCCGCTGTTTTTGATTCTGCCCGTCGCGTATTCCAGCTGTGAATATTATACTGTTTTTTGTACATAATACCAATTATTTATTGTTATACTTAATTGTGGACAAACATGTTGGACGACAGCACCGACGAATTACTTCTGGACGATTTCAGTTGTGAGCAACTTAATAAGGTACTTAATTTTAACATACAATCTTTCGACAGTCTGTTTGACAGCTTTTTTAAATACAGTTAAAATTTGTTTTGTTTCACTAGAAATTGGACGAAATTTGTTGTATTGTCAAAGATTCTAATTATCAGGGCAACAAAGAATTAATTATCAAGAAATTTATGACGGTAAGGCTGCTGTTAATATTATACCTTACCTATTTGTACATTAAGTTGAACATTTTATAATTATTTCATCTAGAGTTGTATTGAAATGTTAAATGTCGGCAAACAGTCTTTGGCGTATATTGATCGAGGATCTAATTTATCGACCAGTATTTTATCTGACGTGATGGCTTACGTACAGGCCTCAATCATGACGTTTAAACACTGTTCACAAAGCAATAGCGTGTACGGACCTGATCTCTTCGAAAGTATACGTCAGCCGCTCACTGAATTTTTTCAAAAATCCTCCGACCTACAGACCTGTTGCTTTAGAGTCGTAGAAAATATCAAATTTGATCCAAGTAAAAAACAAGATGTAGAATCTATAACAAACAGTAAGTACTAAAGCAGCACTTGTTTAATAATTGTTACAAATAATGTTTAATTATTATTCAATTGAACAAAAAAAAAAACAACAATTAAATTCTATTGGAGATCAAATTGAACTTTCTTTTTATTAAACATAGGCATTAGGCACGATTACGATAACTGTCATATACAGCTTGTGTAATAACGTCATTGTATCGTTTTACAGTTTTACAACTTATCTGGCATGGCGCCGAAGCTGTGTTTAGTTTGAGCACCAAAGTGATGAGCGCCAACTGGAAAATGTACGTCACCCTGTTGCAAAAGTACTCGTCTCAGTTGAAAGATTACGTCAACACTGATGAACCAATCGAGTTTCTGTGTACAAAAATCAAGTGTAATGTCATATCTTTTCGGTGTGGCGATGAAATGCCACTAAAGTTATCCACATACATGATACGTGTTTTGGTGAAATTGTGCACGCATGGTCGTATGTTGACGTCGCAAAATAAACTGTTGGAGCTGTTATTGTTTTTAAACAGGTAGGTCAACCAGCAGCAGCGGCTTGAGCATGAATAAAAAGTATGTTGTTGCTAAAGTTTACTTTTATTTTTTATACCGTATGCCTAAGGTAAAAATGATATCACTAGGATTTTTTGTACTATTGTCTTATTGATATTCTATCATTATAGTTGAATGGTTTTCACAAGATATAACTTGAGAGTAATAATTGTTTTTATTTCTGTTTAGTCATTGGTTGTCAGATAAGCAAGAGGTCGTCACTCTTAAAGATAAACTGTCAATTTTCGTTGACCAGCTACTATTAATATCCGATGAGTCTTTTTACCAGGTAACAGATAAACATAATTTTCAATTTAATTATATTTTTATTAGCATTTTAATTCTGAGTGGCTTTATTGCCGATAATATTGATGATAAAGAAATTATGTTTATCGGCTGTTCAGTTAGGTTTACCGGTTAATTTCAAGGAGATTTTAAACCACTAAAATTAGACAATTTTATCTCAGGGTCCTTTTTGTGCACGCATATTAAGTTTTCATAACTAACAGGAATTTTATTGTATTTTAACTTTTCTAATACTTTACCTTCTTATAATGTCATAGTCTAATATTGTATTGTGTCCTTGTATAGGTGTTTCATTCAAGCTGTCAGAGTATTTTGAATGCCAACTGCGCCAGTAGAAAGATATCAGCTCTATACTTTGCCTCAGTGTTGTTGAAACGTTTTGTAGAAAACCAGTATCAACAAGAACAGTTATTTTCACTGATTTGCACCATTTTTCAACTACTCGATAGTGTCGAATGGGCCATATTTTGTATCAGCGATATTTACGAACAGACCTTGACTAATATGGCCGCGGCTGTTTTGGTTTCAGACGACGTCAATTTGTTTGAGAAAATCGAAAAAATAATTTTCTCCAACATACTTCAAACCCGGTTTGTGACGGCCATGTTGGCCAGCGACTTATGGATTATTATTGTAAGGTGTGCAAGTATGTCTTTAGTAAGCGTTTTGTACAATATTTCAGTAAAATAACACTTAAATATCTCTTTAAAAACACTTTAGTATGATGAGTTCACAATTTAATTTCAGCTGAAGCCCAGTGCTCAAAATTTATGAAGGGGGGACCCAAAAAAAATGTTAATATTACCTAATTTCAGTTTAATGAGGATGCCTTCATAATACAGACCTGCCAAATGTTAGTTTTATTAAAATCTTTTGAAAAAAAACACATTTTTATTTTCATATCCCCATAAAGCTAAAATTACCTCTAATAAAGCGAAAAAAAGAAAAAGTTAACTTTTTTCAAGAGAAAGAATTATGTTGTCGATTGTTTTTTTTTAATGCAAAGCGGTAGGGTTAACTCTATAAAAAAAACCTCATACAAATTTTGGATGTAGTATATTATTTTTCGCTAAATTAAAGCGTTTGGTTCTAAACTTATATTTGATATAGTTGGTCCAAACACATTATTACTGTATTTATTATAATAATTCCTTTGAAAATAAAAAAAATTGTTAATTATTTTATTCGCTCCACTGAAAAACATTAAATCATAGGGACGCTATCAAATTATCACTTATCTCTTATCATTTATCACGTGAAAATGGCGACGCGACAATGGCCAATACTATAATACCCATGTTAAAAGTAATTTTAAACCAAGATTATGTAAATAACTTTAAGTTTTACTATATTTTATCATCTGACTTTTAACGAAACGTTTTGCTGAAAAAAAGTTGTATAATTCTGTTTCGGCTCATATTAACTTTATTTATTTATGACAAACTTCTTGCTCAAACACCAAAGGGATTGAAATAAAAGCCTTCAAAAATTAGATCCTCCTGCCTTCATTAAATAAACGTCACTGATTTATATATCCTATGCTTTTATATGTATTCACATTTTTGTTTCCTCTCTTGCCAGATACCTTTCGCCAGAGGCATCCGAAATTCAATTTAGCAAACTGGCCAAACTCTTTGATGCACTCGTTGTCATGCCGGCGTTTGGTCAAAGCCCACAATTCATTTTTCTGGACGCACTGCTCCGTAGACATTTTGCATTCATAACCGACAAACGACACTTGGCCAACACTTGTCCGCAGTTCAACAACGCCCACTTGAAAGCGTCCATAGGAATACTGCACATCTCCACGCTGTCCAAGAAACAACGTTTGTCCGATTTGGTACGAAGCACAATTAGGAATTATATAGGATAATAACTATACTACCGATATATACTGATGATGTTGAAAAGTTAATGCATAAATGCTTATAAAAATTTCCTAAAAATCGCGCATTATAAATTAAAAATAACGAATTCAAAAAATTGTTTTCATTGACATAAAAAAAAATTACCTTTATTGAAAAACAACAAACAAATATTTTTAAATAACATCAAGTATAAATATATGTTGATCGATAAAACTTTGTTATAGGGGAACAAACAATTTTCTTATTAGACAAATTAAATTAAATTGTAAAAAATTAAAACATTTTAATTCTTTTAAAAAAAAAAATATAAAAAAAATTATACTAAGTTTTACTGTGGGTTTTCGCAGTAAAAGTCATGGTAAAATTACACAAAATTATTATAATATTATCTAATTAAAAATTGAGTATATAGGCTTAGAAATTTTAGATGCTTACTAGTTAATTATATAAAAACGCTACAAAAAAATAAAAATTTAGAGTTCAATTTTTTCACTCCTCAAGAATTACATTTTGATCTAGATATCCAGTTCGTGCTATAACATTAGTTAAAAAGAGAGTAAAATCTGTTAGGTTAGGTTTTTCTGAACTGAACATCATAGAGACCGTACGTATCAAATATGTTCAAAATTATTGCATTTGGTCTAACCTTTTAATTAACCCTTGTGTTGTTTTTGTCAGGTAAAAACGTTGACGTACATTCCGTATCAAAAAAATACAGACCATTTAACGGAGGACGTAGCGAATGTGTGGAAATTAATCAAGGACGACCATCCTGTTGGTTTCATTAGCGCTTTGGTCGAAGTCAGTACAAGCTCGGACGCGCTAGTGAAAAAAATCATTCCTAATGTATGCAACATATAACTTTTCTAATTCATTTTGAATCCGTTACTGCTAAACATGACGCCTATTACATTTTCAATTTTCATGTTACAATAATGTGCAAATAGGCTCCCAGTTAACAAGGGATTCGAGGGCACTTGCCCAATTTTCCCTGGCGTGACCCCTTGAATTAATTTGTTGCCCTTTTAGCCTTCCCCTCTTCCCTTTACACGGATGAAATTTAATTACAAATGTACAATAAATAGTTTGCAACAATTGGGATAAAGGGTCTAGGCCTCCGTCACTGTCGGAAGCCCAGGGTAAGGTCTATAAAATAGTAAATACTCGAGTTAGGGTGAGAAGTTTAAAAACAACCTACCCTTCCCTTGACTGTGCTGGAATGCACTTATGCAATAGACGTGTGGAATGTATGCGATTTTATTGCGTTTTTTTTTTAGGCATCTAAATTGTTAAACGACCGAAGAGCAGATGATACGACCGAGATGAAACGTTGTCGATTGCGGTTGCTGAGATCAATGTTGCCTCACGTGTCGTCGTCAGTTCATGAAAAAACTGTTGTAGATGTCTTCCATGAATACCTGTTTGACCAGCATCCTTTAGTGCGACAATGGACCGTCGAGACAGTCGTTTACTTTGTGAGCGTGACTGGCAAACAAAATCACCTGATAACCATGTTGTTCAAGCAACCCCAAGTCCGGGCCATGGTTACGGATTATTTGCAAATGAAAACCGACGAGAGTTACATAAAAAGTTTCGACAATGTCGCCGATCATTTTCGACGGTTGTCAGAATCGGGTAAGTTCAAACACTCGTGCTGGCATACTGGCCGTTTAGAAAAAGCTCTGGACAAATTGAAAACGAATATAGACAGTTTGAACAGCGTACTACTTGGAGATACAAACATTTCGGCTGATGACCATAACAGGCTAAAACAGTACTGCGCCCTGTTGAACAGTCTATGTGAAAAAACTCAAGATGGTATCGTTGGATAGATTTGATCGTTTTACTACATTTACCATGTTTTTAGTCGTTTATAAAAAATGCAATGGCCTTAAAAAAAACCTAAATTAATGGGTGGGGGAGACTATTTGTACTGAATTCAAAAATAACGTAAGATCCCATTGTATTATCAGTAATTTATATATAAACAAATACAAATTAAAATTTTCACTATTATACCTCAATATTATTATTATTTAAAATAATCTAAATGTTATATATTTTGTATGATGTCTATTGTTTATTATGTAAATAATATTCCATAAGAATGCTAAATAAGTTGTTAGACGTTATCTATTGTGTGTAATTGTTTACCAGATAAAACACCGTTATTGCAGTATTCTGAGATTGTTATTTGGGTGGATTACAGCAGATTTATAATAATATATTATATGTATAATATGTATTATATTACAACAGTACTAGAGCAGTGAAATATTACCCACTCAACTAAACCTATTCAATTTTAATAATGTACATGACTGGTGACCATGTAGGAAATAATAATAATAATAAAAAAACAATTTACTACAAATAGAAAGGAATCAAGTAGTTATGAAAAAATATTGTTGTAGACTTTCAGTCTGTATAACACAATTCAATTGTTTTTCTAAAGAACAAGACACATATTATAAAGTGTAAAAAGTTACAATTGCAAGTCTCTGATAAATGTGTTAAAAACAAATTTAAATGATACTTGTCTTTTAGTTGTATAAAATATTTTACTAGTAAATGTGTAATTATTAAAAAATATCAACTTAATTAAGCGATAGCGAGCACATCGTAAATTTCTTTTGCCAGCATGTAATTTTCAAAAATTGATAACTTCAGATATTTTATATCTTCTGTATCCTCAGATCTTTTCATTTGAAGTATTACGTTTTCCTGAAAATGTTGTAAACAAAATGTTAAGCAATATTTAATAGTTTTTAGTCGATGGTTTTATATATTATAGTTATCACTACACACTACATCACAAGTTAACCGGAAAATCAGTAGGCCAATTTCTATAAAAGATTTAATATGTTATTCTCTTTTAAAGTATAATTAAATATTAAAGAATTTCTATATGCATTTATCCGTTTCGGTCGACTGTTAATCAAATGATATCAGGTTAACGCTTTTTAAAAATAAACCTGAATCGACAACTCAAAGTTTATTGCTTTTTAAAATCCGATCACAACATATACACAGAACTGTTGAATTGAACATGACACAATTAAATATTTCTACAAAATAAATACTATAAAATGTGTCGGTAGCGAGGACATTAAATTATATTGCCTATTTCAGTAATTATTATTCAAACCAATTGTACCATGTACACACATAAATATATTTATTACTATACAGAAAAATACTGCTACCATAACAAAAACAATTAGACACTTACGTAGTCTTTAAATAGCGTGTACAAAATTCCGGTTCCATTTTTTGATAAAGTAAGAGACTTTAATAGTTTAAGAGCGGAAAATTTAATGTCTTTTTGTTCCGGATAACTTGGTTTTTGTATATCTTTGAAAATTACGGCTAGCAAGTCTGAATTTTCGAAGACTCCAATTCTTCCGATGTTAAGGTACTTGCTTAAATTGTAAAGTATTGCATAAGAGATCCTAAAGGAACATTTTTTTTTTTTTAATGTTATATTTAAATATTATAATACGCATTTAAATTATAATAATGTATAGGACTTGCAAGTTGATGTGAAAAAAAATGTATGTATAGATACACATCCTAGAGATGTCAAGTCCTAGAAATGTCAGAAAAAATTAAATTTCTTTAATTTGTCAAAAAGAAATTATTTTATATTATAATATTATAGCCTATACAAGTAAGAAATCCCTAGCATAACTCAATTAAATAAAGTCAAATTAAAATTTCCCATGATAATTAAATTTAATAAAAAAAATACTTAGTTGAGATTAAAAATTATGCTGAATTTTTCAAAACGGGGATATAAATTCATTAAAATAGTTCAAAAATTGTTCTTTTTTTTTTTACCTTTTAACATCATATTCGGGGATTGCTATTATCGACACTATAGCTGATATAATACTCAAACGGCTATAGAACAAATCACATCCTTCTGTAGTAGTACAAGTATTGGCCACAATAGCCAATACATATAGAATTAGTTGACGTTCGTTTTGTTGAAGTGAAACTCGGTTTTTATGTTTTTTGAAATAAGAAGACAGTATATTTTCCATGTAGTCTAAACATTTTTTTTCTCTCTTGAAAAAAAAAAAATTACTTATATTAAATTTACTATAATAATATTGACCGCGTGTCTATATTGATCATCGTTTTGGTACGCTTACTATTTCTTCTAATAATATATCTATAAATGGCGTTTGGGAACATATGAAAATCATTTTAATCAACAAACAATTATCAGAATAACTGGTCGTCTCCTTTTCTCGAAGGCGATCACTTAATTCTACCACTTTATTTTCAAGCATAATAATTTTGTTTTCGGTCTTAGAGTCTTTAGAAGTTTCTGCAATCAATTTCTTATATCAGCAAGTAGTAGGTATTAAATCAATTTCCAAACAACATTCAATAAAATTGAATGTGTACATTTAATGTACACATTCCATGGATGGTAGAGAATATGAAATTATCTCTATCACATTATCTCTATAGCACTTAAACAGTTTTACAGACCCTCCATATTTTTTGGCTTTTTCGACCGATAGTAAATAGCTAGTAAAAAAGACAGCCAAAAATATCTAAAATACCATTAAATAAATAATTCCTAGGTGCTCACATCAATATGGGGGTTTATCATGTAGTTTACTTCCTGATGTATAGATTTAAACAATTTCTACCTACTTTACATGTCTTAGAATTTTTAAAAAAATAATTGAATGGTTAATTCACCCAGCTATTTACTTATAAAAATTCCAACTTAGTAAGACATTACTAAACTCCAACATTACTTAAAAAACAAATATTTCCTAAGTTAAGTTTTCAGTTAAAAGTTAGTTATAAAGTTTTAATTATAAACAAAACTCTAATTCGTGTAAAAACGATAAAATGTTTAATTATTTTTGTGATATTATAATAGATAAATAATAGATTTTAGTAAAAGCTAATATCATTTTTTATATCTTGGTCCACCACACATAGAGGATCTAGGAAACTCCAGAAAAAACAATTTTTGTTTTGCGATGAAAACCCTATATTCTACAATTTTTTTAGAGACATTTTAGTTATATTTTATTAATAACGGTATGTTTGGTAAGGTTAAATGCAATTATTACTTAACGTTTGTAAGGTTTTACTTTTGTTTAGCAATTGAAGACAATTTTCTTCCAATTCATTTGTTATATTTGCGACTTGCGACAAAGGTATTTCTTGGGCGTTTCCGTATATTTCGTTAAATGCATCATTATAAAGAGACTGTAATTTTAATTTAATAATAAGTAGTTAACCGTGAAACTTGTTATTTTATATTATTAAGTAGTTGATGGGTACTATAATATATAGGTTAAAAAAAACACACACCATTAGTTGATGTACGGATTCGTTCTTCTCCGAGCCACTAGACCGAGTCGAACTCATTATCAGAGTGGAATTGGTGGACAGATCGTTATCCGAGGAGTGGTCGGTGCTTATGTCTAGTTCGTGATCAAAATATCTATCTCCGTTCATAGTTTAGTCCCCGGGTATTGCTAAAAAAAAAAAATTAATTAAGATCAAATTAAGGTATCTAACAATAGGTATTAACGGTAAAATGTAAATACTATAACGACACGATACCTAGTATATGATTAGACTTGTGTCGCAGTAACAGATCAACTAAAAATGTAATTAAACGTGCTAAAAATTAAAACCGATTGTGTGAAATCTTGTCATAATGAATATATACTATAACGCCCATCTTTTGTTTTTGTGAACAACAGGTTATTGTGCAAGTTGTAACCACTAACCGTGTTACAATTCGAATACCGCGGTTGGGTGGGTTTGTCGTTTGGTGTTTTTTTTATTAACAACTTTGAACTTACTATCATTGAACTATTAACTAGTAAGACGTGTTACACTGTTATCTAGTCTTAAGAATGAAGAGTAAAAAGAGTTATTGGTCAACTAATTTGCTGGGTTGTTATTTTCCGAATAAGACTGTCAATTATATTTGATTTAAAAATTTAGCTAGCCGTCGCTTGTACCAGTCTTTTTTAAGTGCCAAACTATGGCACACATGTGCGATACTAAATTCACAAGCGAGCAATGTAGAAGTCATAAAAAACATCTAGCGTGAAAATTAAAATGTTTTTCCCATACTGACACTAATCACTATATATTAAGGAGTGATGAGAACCAAAAGGGTATGAGTACCTCTTAAAAAGAAACACGAAACATTATAAAACAAACGCGAATAGAAAAAGGTCTCATTTCCGAATATAATAAACTTTTTTTTGAAGTATTACGAAAAGGAGCTAAGGTTTGGGTTGTGATCGTCGATTTGCACTATCACTAAAAATTACAAATATATAATTAATAGCTAGTACAGTGAGGTCGGAGCATAATGGGGATGGAGAGGTTACATGTTTACAGAAATTATTATAACTAAAAGTGATAAAATCACTATTAAATAAACGCTTCGAGTCGATGAGTAATAAGTATAAACCACACATAGCAACCTAAAAGCTGACTACGGTCGAATTGTAATTTTATCTTTTTGGTTTTTCCTTAAAAAAAAAAAATGTTTGATATAACCCCATTCTATATCTGCATTTGGTCTAATTTTCATACATACACCACTAAAACTTTGCAAGAAAAAGCAAAAGAAAGGAAAAATAAGTTAATTAACGGTTTTTTTTTCGTTGACCCACAGCGCCCAGGCGTCCCATAAGAAGCTAGCTTCAAAAATTCCACCTTTTAGAAAAAAGGATGTACGATAATTGTTTAGGTTGTCAAAGTTATAAGTTGAAAAAAGTTATTAAATACCTTCAAAATTGGAATATTACCCAATTTGATGGCAGCTTTTTGATATTTATGTAATAGTGTGTGCCGCTACATACCAAAATACATGTCAAAATAACGATTATGATAAACATAATACATTTTTGGAATTTTATTCTATTATACCACTAAAAAAAGATAGAAAAATAAAATTAATATAAATTTCGTATTAAAAGTTCTAAAATCAACCATGACTAAATAAACTTATTATTATAAATAAATATTATTAAAAAAAAAATAATAATAAAAAAAAATTGTGTTTAATGAAACTATTCATGGCTTAAAACTGTTTTACTGTGAACCAAACATCACAGGTCAAGTATGTGACAGTATATAAAAAAATATACAATTTTACAGACAATTTAAAACTGAGCGCTGCATTTTAGTTATAAAAGAGAACGATTAAATTATTTTGTTCATACTGTAACTTGATTTGTTTTGCTGGTTACAATCATTTTTAGTAATAAAATAATATCTCACTTGTTAGATAATATTAAAATAAAATTTTGTCTTTAAACACAATATTTAATACTATAGATAAACTAAAAAATTTAATGATTTTTCCACATTTAACCGCCAGTCTCTGTGTAGTCTCAAATGCGATTTGTGTTACATGATATCTTATATTTTTATCACTGGGCTAAGCTTTAATTCCATCTGTGTTTATAGTAACCCCGAATTAATAGTAGAGCATGTTTATTGTATGAAAGTATCACAGAGGTATGTTGTATGTTATCAAGTTGACAGAAAACACTTTTTTAACGTTTTTTTCTAAACCTAAAAAGTAAAAATTACCATCAACAACACTTTATTATCTATATTAGGGTCTTTGTAAGGGCATTGAAAAAGTATTATACTAAAGCCTTGTAAATCAATCAAAAGGGAGAGAAACAAACCATTTCTGCTTGGTTAAAAGTTTTTTCTCTGTTTTTTCCTTTATTTGAAAATATATCTACTGATAATCTAATATCAAAAATGTTTATAACGCACAATAATTGACGTTATATTAGTTTATTAAATTGGTGAGAATAAAATTATTATTCTGATAGCTGAGTATAACACATCAGAATTTTTAAAATTTATTTTCTAAAAAAATACTTTAAATAAAAATACACATTAAATTGTTTATACTATTTTCACGAAAAATGTTATTTGAAATTTTAAAAGATAATCCATGTTTTAAATAAACAAAACTTACCTTCTCAAACAGAGAGACTAGCGTTACAAATAATAATCTCAATAAACAGGACCCCTGGACATTGGTCAAGTCCCGGGGAGTTCAAACAATATTTTCAAAAAATTTTAGCATTTTGTTTTCTTATTCGGGATTGAATTACAGGGCTCTAACATAAGTTTCATAATATGAAGACTACCTTAAAGTGTTTAGTTTAAGAATTAATTGAACCATTCTCTTTTATTAATTATTTTGTAAAATTGTTGTTCAATTAAATAAGTTTTTGAAGAATGCAGTAGTTTTTCTGTCATACAAATTTAACTCTTATCATGCATACCAACATATCGCAAGCATTTTGTTTAACGCTATTAGGTTGTATGAACCATGTGGGTTCCTCTGTAAAACAAATATATTTTTAATTATTAAATTAATGTGAGTGTCATTTTAGAAAAAAATTATCATTACGTGAAAAATTAACAAACAAGACAGCTAACATTCCGGTTCATCATATATAAGACAAATATTTGCAACTTGCATAATATAATCCAGGATAGTTGATTTAATCAAATATTTTCCTCGCAATTCTTTCGATGACGTTCAAAGAGTTAAGTTGTACAAAATGAATTTCCATACAGGTTGTCGATTACTAATTGAGCGTTCACGTTAGACTAGAAAATAATGCAATAATACACATAAAATAGTTAAATATATTAGTATTGAATTCAATTTTCTACCTTAATTTATATTAATAAAGGCAGAAAAAAGTTACCTTTATATGTGCAAATAGGACAGTTTTCTAATGTCTTTTGAGCCTTATTTTTGAATACAAATACAGACTCTTTTCAACGACACACGGAGTCATTTTAGTTAGTGAATATTTTAGAACGTTCCGTATGTCGATCAATAAAGTAAAAATTGATACAAAGACTACCGTGGCAAATAAAATTCTTTTCTTGCTTTTGAGTGATTACATTTTACATATTACATCTGTATTAACACAACAAATAATATCACATACATTACCTAATAATAATAAAACAAATATAATTACCATATAACACACTTGACACGAAAGCGTTTAGCAATGTTCTAGGCATACTCATTGCAAATTCACATAAAGTAAACCTAGAATAAAATAAACATTTTACTATTATAATAAATATTTACAAATGTTATTGTTTTTGGTAATTTGCAGTAAAAGTGGGAATTTTAGTTATTACAAAATATAAAGGGTTTTTATGTATTAAAATTATTCGACTGTCAAAATTGTTTTAAAAAAATGTATTATTAGATAAGGTTTATCTATTATTAGTATGGTGCACAATAAAAAATTTGACAACTACACAATTTGTATGGGACTATTATAGTTTTATGAGAGTATAAACCAAACTAGGTATGTCTTTGGCTTTTAAATTTAGCAATTAATATAGTTTAATTTAAAATGGTCCTTTAGCCCCACGATTGTTGCGCATACCTATTCCATTTATCATTGTCTATTTCAACATACGAGCACAAAACATAGTGGCTATGACACAAACTATGAATTTTAATAATGTTTACATTGTTTGAATGTATACACTAAGGTGCGCATAATATGGATAACAGCGTTTTCGCCAACATGTATCAAAAGCACGAGTACCATGTACTCAATACATTAAACAATTAGTGGAAATACACATTTGGATTTTGAAACAGGCCATACATCGGTAAATTTGTGTATGGCGTTTCTTTCGAACTTGTCGTAGAATTACAATTATTCTAGCTGGAATTATTTTTACTGGTGTCGGTGTTTTTATCATAGATTAATTTGCAATCCCCTAAAAAAAAAAAAAAAATATAAATTTTCTTTGCTTACTAAACTAAGGGGTAACTAAGATATTAAGTTCAAATTATACTTCATACTCACCGATTATATTTACTTGATTTACATAGTCAGTCATGTTTATGGTTTCTGGTCGTGTTCCATAAATGCGTGGGCAGCGGCGGGCTAATAATTTCAGCATAATATCGAGCGTAGGAGAGTGCAAAATTGTAGTTTTTTAAAGGTTCTAGTTAAAATTCTAGAATTTAATTTGTATTACACACCGAACGACGGTCATCAGCAAAAACGATTGTCGATATCATCGAAATGTACACACCAATATTGTTGTTTGTTATCACCCGAGTATAATCCATGAAATAATATATAAATATTATTTTTTTAAACTCGACGTTATTATGACAATTATATAAACACGCATAACATGACTGTGTTGGGCAATGACGCGTGAAATAGAAACGCGTTTAAAGCGATAAAAACGACAATGTTCATGTTGATTGTTGTTATTTGTTCAAAACGAGTTAGACAATGATGGAATTTTGTTTTTTTTTTAATCTCACACCGTTCGTTAATCTACCTCCAGCCTCCACCCGTGTGACCCGACAAGAGTCGCCAAACGCTATCTACTCTGTAAAACTAACCAACCCCGAGGTTCCAGCTCGTATTATACGCCTATGCGCAGCTGCCGCTGTCCACGGTCGACAACCCTGAGCGACTAATAAACCAAGCAACGGCGACCCGAACAAAGTACGCTGTATATTATATTAATTTTTTTGTTATTGTCTTGGAAGTTAAAAACCGAATGCCTACGTTTTTTTTTTGTTGAAACTCACAGCACCTCATCCCAGCGTACTACGCGTGCAAGTGTTGGGTGTAATAAAATTAACAAATTCGAGAGTTCCTTCTTCGTTTTGCGGTTTACATCACTGCAAACTTGAGGGTGCTCTAGCTTGGGTGGTAATGGCCGCAGAACGGACGATCGATCGAGCTTCGAGCTGTCGAGACAAAGGACGCCCAGGCACTCGCAGTCAGTCCCGGTTCCCCTCTGCACGTCCAGCTCGCTAGTGGCGACCATTTTCGTTGAACGACATTTGACCCGTTTGGCTTTTGCTGTTGTTTATTGAAAGCTCAACAGTCGGTCGAGGAATGGTATGTGGAATTCAAATAGCCGTACAATAAAAACTTAACACTTTAATAACGCGACCGACGCCTTTTTTTCTCCAACAAATCAACACACACACTCGGGTGTACGAGCAACGCTGTCAAAAAGTTCATGACTTAACTTTGCCGTGGAAAATTAAATGCTTGGACGATAAAAGGGCCCGTACGGTTAAACTCTACGACGGTAATCTCAAATTGTACAATTATTATCTTTTATTAATTAGTATAAAATACAACTACCAATTTTTGTACAACTTATCTAAAAATCCTGTATTAAATAGTATATAATTATCCTAATTTCTAATTTTATCTAGAATATCCTTCGTATGAATGCGTTAAAACTTTTGTGGATTGATATATCAACTGAGTGAGTTTCGGATATATCCACGTCGAATGTTTTGTGCCGACGTTTTGGACTCTTTTCAGAGTCCATCTTCAGGGCAATAGTGGTCTCGACTGTTCAAATGGTATGGTCACGGCATTTGAACGGCATCCGAAACTCACTCCTTCGTATACTGACACGCTGTGTGCTATTTTGTTTTTGTCGAGAAAAAATTTAATAAATTTCTACTGGGATAATATGACGCTTAGTCCAAAATATTTAAAATTTGCTTGAATGCAAAATGCAACGTGGTGATTTCATTATCGCTTATTGTTCGAATAGGTATTATGTCCGATATGTTTAGGCATTTGAGTTATATGTAGTTAATTGTTTACGTTTAATAAATTACATCCATATTCCTGGAGTCTAACAGTCCAAGATTTGGGCTAACTGCCTTCAGTTAGCCCAAATGTGAGTTTTGTTCCAGCATAGAGTACTGTGCTTTTAGGGGCCCTACACCTTATAGCTGTACAAAATAGTTTTAACTGTAGTTGATAACTAATATAATATCTTCTTGTGATTTCGGATTTGGCCAGTAAGACGATACTGATAACCTGTTTGACTACTAACTAGCAGTATAACTAACGTCATAAATAATATGATTAGATTTATATTTACCTGTTTGTTTTTAGTTTTCAAAAGATTACCCTACAGTAGTTGTGATATAAAATTAAGAAGACACAAGAGAATACATAGTATGTCCAAGAGAAACAGCGATCTAGAAGGCAATGAAGGGCCTTCTTTTAAGAAACAGCAACTGGAGCCAAATTTTGATGACTTAACAAGCCATCTAGAAGGCAATGAATGTCCCTCTGCAAATGTATCGGAACTCGAATCAGTTGTCCATGATGTAACAAGCAGCAATCAAGAAGGCAATGAAGATTCTTCTGTATTAACATCAAAACTTGGATCAGATGTGGAAGACGTTAGCGAATTAGAAGGCAACGAAGGATCCTCTGCACTAAATGCTCAACTCGATTCAGATGTTAATGACCTAACAAGCCATAATGACCTCTCAAATCAGTTTTCAAACAATGAATTGTCGGAACAAACTGAACATGACAATTTTTCAGATATATCAGAGGTAAAATTTTAAAAATTGATTATTAATATAAAACTTAAATAGCAATTAATATTATTTTTTTGAGTACAAAATGCATAACATAAAATCAAATTTTTTCTTTGTTATTTTTAATAGTTATTACTTGTTTTCACATTTTCAGTTGACAACTCAAAAATACTCTTAGATAGGTAGAAGAAATTTTTTTATCTAAATATTAAATTTTGTTTCTTTAATTTAAAAACTTTTATGATAAATCATAAATGGTTCATCTATTTACTACCTTACAAAATTAAAAATCAAACAATAATGTTTACAACATGTATTCCTGACTGACGTAATAACCATTAACATTTTAAGATGACAAATATGGTGGGAGTAACCAAATAAAGTATTTTATGTTTAAAGTTCAATATAGTTTAATTATATAATTAATATAAAGAATAATATAGCTTTTGTTTTTTTAAATTATATTTTTATTTATTTATTATAATATTTAATGTACTTGTCCCGAAACATTAACTGGAAAACGTGGCATTTGGGGGGACTTTAAGAATAAGTTTTAATTGTACAAAAATGTTTTATTTTGACGAATTAGTAAGACTCAGTCTTTTTTTAAAAGAAAGGACTTGGGAATTTATCTTTTTTTTTCTGTACCCATGTTGCTATAGTTTAGTTGAGTCATTTAATTATAAATTCTATTTTGATTTAGACTTTGCCAAACAAAAATACATTGGCCCTATTAAGACAAGAGATTTACGATCTTGAACGTCAGCGATTACTACATTCGTCATCAATAAATTCTATAAATTTCATAAATCACTATTGGAATCGATTCGATAAGGACTGGTGTTTAATGTTGCATAAATTAGCTGGCGATTCTCAAGAAACATTTAGTTGCTTAGGTAAGTGTGTGCAGACTGCAGATAGGTATACATTGGTTGGTTAATCATATTACTATAATAAAAATGTGCATATTTTATCATTAGTTTTACCGTGTCTTTAGATATAAGCTCATCGACTACATATTCATCATATCAGATGATCTCAGAATTACACCCAGATAATTTGGAGGAGCAGTTAGCTAGTCGCGTGGAGAAAACTAAAAATGTCATAATGGATGTCATTGGAGCTTTTAATAAGCATAAGGAAAGAAAAGAGAAGTTGGAATTAGCTCTCGAAAGACTATCAAGAGAAGGTATAGTTTCAATTGTTTAGGATAGTAGATTTATGTGTTTTATTGGGAAATGTCCATTATACAACTGAATGAAAGGAACGTAAATAATTTCGGGGATTTTTAAACCCGAGGTGCAAAACACATACTTTAATTGAATACCTTTTTAGATATGGAAGACGACAATACTGCACAAGACGTTTGGAATACCCTTATTTGTGAAAATGAAAATCTGCAACATTTGACCGCGACATTACAGAAATATTATCATGAATCGACGCCAATGGTAGAGAAATATTTATAAAATAATAAACATCTTTTTTTTCATATTGTAGTTTTCCTGATTGTACTACGAGTTAAATATTCAAACACTATTTTGAAATGGCTCAAATATAAAATACATATTCTGTACTCGTTTAACTTTTTTGTCTTAGGCTGATAAACTTATGAAGGCTTATGAACCTCAATATTGTGAACTAAGGAGATTGCAATGTAAATATGAAAGATTTTTCCAGCAAAACAAATATCTTCACGAAAAAAATTATCAACTGGAAATAGATCTAGCAACATTAAGATTTGATCTTAACAACATGCTATTGGATGAACCTGAAGCACAAGCAAGACCAGACTTGGATGAAGATATTATGTTTATTGATGACGACGCTCCACAAATTCAGGATATATTACAACCTGATGTTCCTGACGGTGATGTTTCTCAAAACGGTGAAAACGTGGAACAAATATTTATTCCACAAGAACAAGATCCTATAGAAGCAATAGGATTACAGAATTGTGAGTAGACATTTTTTTTTTGTGCATGTAATGCCGGGTCCACAGAGTGAACAAAATTGAAGCGAAACAAAAACAATGTTTTTTGATAATTTCTAAACAATTTTTTTTTTCAACATTATGTTTTCTTTTTTTCAGTGGGAAATGTTATTGATGTTTTTGTTTCATAAGCAGTATAGGTTGGTCTGGAGTCTGGATACAATGCTTTTTAAAAGCATTGTGTCATTACTGTCAGTCCATTTCAAGTGACCAGTCTTGTATTCTTATGTTGTTTGTAAATTATTTTTGTAGAACTATTTACTTTTTTATTAAAATAAATTTTTATAATTAAAAAATGAATAAATATAAATGAACAAACAAAGATCCGAAAAAGTCGAACTTGTATTTTGTATATTCTAAACGAAAAAAAAAAAGTTAAGTTTTTAATTTTTTGAATTTCTGAGCTGACTTGGCACAACAAACATTTATTTTGGTTTTCTCTCATTGTGAAAATATATTTTCTATTATAAACTGCACCAATCGTACTAACTGGACTTATGTTTAATTCTTAGATTTCTCAAATTATTATATTCTCATTAGATTTGAGCAAAGCCGATAAAAAACTTAGCCCGGTTTTTTTTTAATGGAATTCGTTTGGTATCAACAATATGGGTTACAGTGTGTATCCAAAAACCTTGTATAGGATAAAAAAAATTTGGTTTTCACCAACTCTGGTCTTACCTTAAATATTACTCGTTTTTGTTTGTTTTAGGTGAACGATTGGAATCAATATCTTTGCCGTTAAATGAGCCTGAATATCCTACAGATGCAGCTGATGAATTAAACAAATTAGCCATTAGCTCGTTATCCGACATGGAGTGCTCAATTGATGATAAAATTCAAGATATGGATTTTTTGGAACCATCGACTTCAAAATTTTAATTTAGTTCGTTCCATCATATAAAAAGACATAAAACCCTCTCTTACAAAAAAGTTTATAAAGTCAGTTTTTTAGAAAAACTTTAACTACTCTATACATCTTTATTAATTAGTAGTATAGCAACTTCTTATGAGTATACTTTATTGATAATTTTTTTTTTTTTTTATCCAATTTGGCGCCAAACATTACTTAATCTCAGTGTATTTTAGTTTGTATTATTGTTTTAGAGTACTACAAACAAATAGTACACCACTGAATATAGGTAATATTTGTTTTAAGTAATGAATTATAGTTGTTTGAAATATTGCCTACACCGAAAACCCATAAATAAATAATAGGGTGTGAGCAGAGTTGTGCTTTAATTCTTATTCAAATAAAAATGCATTTTGGATTTTTGCGAGCTGTGTTTCTTAAGTTGAATAAAGTATAGATGATTATTTCGATAATTTTACCAGTGATAACAGTAAAAAGTAATTCCTTTATAATCTTATCTAAAGTCCTTGGCAAAGTAGACCATTTAAGTTATTAATATGGATTATAGCATATATTATTTTAACTTTTCTCTTTGTGTGTTTAAAATATTTAGTATTTGTTAGAAAATAGATTTCATTACATTAGATGACATTATCATAATTTTAAAAATAGATAATAAAACTTAGTAGTATTTATCGTATAAATATATATTGATGCTTTGTGTGTTATGATATTGTCTTGTTTGTTGTGTGTGTGTTGTCTAATTATTCTAAACTCTAGTCTATATTTGTAATAAAGTAAGTTAATAGCTTGATTATCTAACTTGTAATGATTGATTCTTTACTCATTCTTTTATTATATGGTGATTCTTATTTTCATTCCACTTAGTACTCTGCTAAAAACATTTTTTTAATAATAATGTATATATATACATTATTATTCATTTCCATACTAAAGTATCTAGTTGATATTATACAAGAATGTATTAGTAATATGGCAATTAATAATTTTTTATTAATATTAATACAAATACTTATTATATAATCGTTAAATTTAATTTATTTTTAAATATTTTAATAATTATGTATATCAATAATGTGTTTCTTTTAATATTCTTTACTTATAATGAACTTTCAGACTTATAACTATTATCTTTCCATTATACATATTATATTATAAATCATAACTTTATTATGATGGTAGTAGCATTAAGGGTTTTTACTATAATTATTGTCTTACTCAACTGTCAGACTTGTGTCTTTTGCATACATTTTCTTTGAGTTTATATTAACATTGTGTTATGGAAATGTATGTATTATATTTTTAACTAGCTAAAAAAAGGTATTATTGTCAAGCTGAGAAATCAGTTACGGTAACATCATACCTACCTATTAAAGTAATATTGCAAACTAAATTAATCACTAGCATTTAAGTGAATGATATGTTCTGTCAAGTGTTTAACCTCCACGTACTCGCATACACGTCATTAACACTGCGACTTATGATACTTATAGTACTTTTAAAATTCAGAAATTATGTTGGTGGTGTAAATATTGCTGAGCGACCATCAACGAGATTTTTTAAGACACGAGTGCTTGGTGGTTAAATATAAATATCTAAGTATTGAAATGTTTTTGATTTTGTCACTTCATGTAATAAATACTACTTAATATAATATTGCTTAAACATATTATGTTCTATTGTATAAAACTGATCTATATTCGTAGATTAACCTAACCATTTATCCTATGAATCTTTGAATATTATGAATTTTCTTATTTCGGCATAGCGTTAACCAAAAACGCCTGTATGCCTGTTATATTATATAATATGAGTCAAAGCCAAAATAAATAAAAAATAATCCCATTTCTAACCATGACATAAAAATTTCAACAAATATTTAAGTAAATAAATGACAAAATCTTATATGAAAGATTTTTGTAACTTTTCTTATAACATTTTTATGTTTACAAAATAAGAAGTTTTATTTACTTTTTTTTTATGGAACGCTAAGGTTATTGCCAACGATGTACATCACATATGACAAATTAACTTTATTATTGAATTATTTATTTATATGAATTATGTTAGGTAACTTTTTCGCAGTGGCGTAACTAGAGACTAAAGCGCCTATAAGCAAGTCATTTTTTTTGTTCGTGGATGTTTTATTTTCATAGTGGAATTTTAAGTATTAAGTAGAAAATTTTTTTTTATTAAATAGGTAAAATCAAACTAGTATAACTTCCTAAGTCATTATTTTCATTCTACCACTCTTAAGGCTTATCACTTATCATATTTAGTTTTACTGATAAGTATAATAACTGTTATCATCTCAATTTAACGGTATCAATGAAATATTGTGATTTTTATCATATAAATATTAACTGGGAATATAAAATAATTTTGACTGATGTAAAAAGTTTAAATTCGTAGGTAGTGTTTTTAAACATTTTAATACACATTATTTTTTTTATCTTAAAGAGAACACATTATATTTTATGTTATATTGTGCATCTACCGTCATTCGCCGAGAGCCAAAAACCTGAAGTACAAATTACAATATCAATAATGACGATGCAGGAAGAAGAAAACTTATGGTAAGAAAACGATCGGGTTTAGCGGGTTGAACTTGATTTTTGCGGAAACGTTTAATTCGCTAGCCGAGTTTACTTTACTTGACCATTTGTTGTGTTTTTGCTGCAGGAACTCTATGTTGATCTCGCTAAAGGAAAAGGGAGGAACGCGTTTACCTACTGACAAATCTATGATTATCATTGGTAAGTAACAATAATACTGTTAGGCTCGTTTCACACGAGCCACTTTTTGTGCTGCCACAGAGAAGACACTGTGGCGCTACTGTTAAAAATATATTGTTTTGAATTGATGGTTATACATGATGTCGCACCACAAACGCGTCTTGGTGGTCGGTACCCGCTAGAAATAGCGCCGCAGAAAGTGGCTCGTGTGAAACGAGCCTTATGTATGGTATTGTTGGCCGTTTTAAAATTTAAAGTTTCTTCAGATAAGTAAATAATTGTTAGTCTCCCTTTATTTTTTTATTTTTAGGCGACAAAGAATGTGGTAAAACTACTCTTGTAGCTAAACTGCAAGGAATCGATGACTTAACCAAAGGTATCGGTTTAGAGTATGCCTACATTGATATAAGAGATGAATATAAAGAAGGTAATTGTTTTTGTTATTGGTTGATAGTTTTTATTTTTGATAATAATATTCGTATTGATAAATTATACCTATATATTTTATTAGCCTTTATAAAAATATGTGTAGAAGAAACTTGACTACCTATTGAATACTTTTAACTATTTAGATACTTATTTTAACATACATAATTGATATTTTTGATTTCAGATCACACCAAACTTAATGTATGGGTTCTAGATGGAAATCCTAAGTATTCGTTTTTATTGAAATTCGCCTTAACCCAGAAACAGTTCAAAAACACATTAATAATGTTTGTGGTGTCCATGAAAACACCTTGGAACATTATGGACCAATTGGAAAGTTGGGCGACATTGTTGCAAGATTATATTGACAATCTTTCAATTCCCAGCGAGGAACTTATGGAGTACCGTCAGCAATGTAAATATACATACTATATATATATATATATATATTTATATAAACAATTTAACTTATTAATAATTACTACTTGCTTTTTAGACACACAATAATTTATTAAATATACATTTACTTGTTTTAAGGTATAAAAAAGTGGAATGAATACATTGAAGAAAATGTTGGCGATAAAAATGGCTATTGGGAACATGCACTCGGGGATGGAGTGCTTACGAGGAACCTCGGCCTTGATGTCATAGTTGTTGTAACAATGGTGAGTTTAATTTTATTATTTATGCTGGGTTTTGGTTCTCTTTGTCTTATGTGTATATTTTGGTTTTTAGACCGACTATATCAGTGTGTTAGAAAAAGAAAACGACTACAAAGACGAACATTTTGATTTTATACAACAAACGGTGCGCAAATTTTGTTTACAATACGGAGCATCGCTCTTTTATACGTCAGCTAAGGAAGACAAAAACTGTGATTTACTATATAAGTTTTTAACTCATAAGATTTACAATTTTCCATTTAAAACGCCAGCACTAATTGTCGAGAAAGACGCTGTATTTATGTGAGTTACTTCAAAAGTTTAACCTTCATTAACGGTATACAAATTAAATTACTTCACAGTTACATTGGACGTTTTGTGATTTCAGACCGTCTGGCTGGGACAGTATGAAAAAAATCAGTATTCTCTACGACAATATGCAATCAATGAGACCGGATGAGTTTTACAATTCAGTCATCAGCAAAGTAGTCACAAGAAAGGTATGTTTATTTAGGAAAACAAATGATTTTTTAATGCTTTGTTAATTTTTACGTTTACAGACGTTTACCAAAGACCACGAGGTCCAAGCAGAAGACGAACAAAATTTTTTGAACAAACAGTTGGGTCTGTTGAACCAAAGTGCGAACCAACAATCCGCGATTGGTATTCCCAGACAGGACTCGGTGATGAGATCTCTTACGGGGGTGTCCAAGCCAGGAGAGAGACGCGTGTCACTGACGAGTCAGGGTCAAGGTTCGCCGACTAAAAAGGTGCGCTATTAAAATTAAAATTATAATTGTACACTTAATCATCAGCTAAACTATACCGTGTATTTTTAATGTAGATTGATCCGGTCAAGACGAACAATACAGCCACACCGGGCGAAGGTGTTTTAGCAAACTTTTTCAATTCCCTTTTACACAAAAAGTCTAATCAGAGTCCGGTCATGTCGAAGTCTCCAGGTTTCAACATTAGAAAACTTTAATTCTATTATTATCTGCGACTCATTTTTTTTCGTTAGGTATTCTCATAATGCGTTATAACGTACATTTTTAGGTGAACTATCGGGCTCAAAATCATTGTCGCTTGACCACACAGAATATCCCACAGACACAGCTGCCGAATTAGACAAATTAGCCAAGAAAACGTTAAATCTTTCTAATAGTCTTTCAACTGAAACAAGTTCTATTGACAACGGAGCCGGAGAACTAACTACATCTCTAGCCGAACAGTCGTCTTCAGAATGTTAGTTCAGGGTTACAACACACTATTTGTATTCTTTCCTAAAATTGTGATAACATGTATTTAATGTTACGTGCAATTCTTATATATTTTTTAACCCATGACCGAACATATATATTTTATAACATATTATTATTATTAATATTAATTTATTTTATTAATCCTATAGATTTTACTAATTTATTATTAACGTATTACCCCAAAAAAATCTTACCTTTATTACATACTTCTTTCATAAATATATCCAAAGTCATTTGAAAAGTAGATAGTTAGGCTAACTAATATAACTAGAAACTTAAGTTTTTGTATATTGAATTTTTTTTCATACTATATTTTAAATAAATGTGAAGGTGTTCTCATATATTTTTTATGATTTAGAATAAAACACGAACAATTATGTATTAAACAAATATTTTTTAACCCTTTTAATAATGTTTTGATCACTTCACATATAAATGTGAATATCGGCTATGTAAAATATTGATTTCTATACGATATTTTCCATGTTTTTTTATATATATTATTATTCATATTATATTAAATTCGCACATAAAAATAATAACAGAACCTTTGAATGTATTTATTTGTTTCAACAAAATGTTTTGAATATAAACTGTATTTATTAATAATCGCTTTTTAATAACAAATATTTTGATTTATTTGCTTAATGAGCTTAATCTGTATGAAATAGTTTTTGCTGGAAATATATCATTGAAATTTTGATCATACTTGCGTAAAAATCAATTGAATATATACAATATTATTATTATTTATCAGAAAAAATTATGTAATCCCTGAACAGATCGATTGGTATAGGAAGGAGAAAAAATCTTTTACAGACGTTTTTTTGTAAATTATAATTTATAAACTTATTGTGTTCTACAAAATACCAATAAATTTATTGATATATTATATAATTTGTAATACTTAATAGTAAATTATGAGTATAATTTTGCATTGTTATACAAGAATGAAGTTATGCAACTGGCGAGGAATAATATTTTGGTAAGGCAAGAGTGTCATTGATTTGCCGCATAACAACCGTGTATCTTGGTAAAAAATTAAATACATTTTAATAAATACGGTATCTATGTGTACATAATAATAGAGTTTTATGTACAATTGTACGAAACAACAGTATACTTATAAAAATAAAGTTAATTAAAGTATAACGCACGTTTATTTTTAAAACTTTTGATCGGTAATATTATTTACAAAGAAAAATTGTTAGTGGCCATTTTACATTTAGATAATAGTTTTAATTAAATAATAAACATTTAAATACAAAGTTTGCATAAATATAAAATTACATTGGCCGATTCGAGTTCTGCTTAAACGCTCAAACTCGAATTGCTTACGATTAATTAGAAACTAATGTTATCATATAAATAAATGTATGTACATGGAAACTAGTGGTATTACTAGTGAACTATCAGGGGACACGAGCTTAAAAGTATGTTGTGCAATGAAGCCATATCCGCCCAGTCGGTGCGTTCACTTCCTATGATTAAGTTCCGTATGCATCCTTTGAAATTGTCTCTAGTGCCTAAAGTACCGCTGGACGCCGTATCTGCAAAACACAACGAATGCGATATTGGGATGAGTAAAAAACAGTTTAAGCATGTAACCAAAATGCAAACCAAAACATAGCAGGGGTAAAAAATGACTGCTGATTGATCTATTATTCAACAATAATTATGCGGTATTGTACCTGGTAATCCACCTATGTACAGTGGGCTGTTGGTGTGCGCTTCTGTGATGTGACCGTTGTCCAGAAGCCAGTATTTTTGTTCAAACTGGTCGACTTTGAGAGTCAACTTGTCCTCGACGTAAAATGCTTGTATCTGATGCCACTTGTTGTCGCATATGGTGAACTCCGAGTGGAAACTCTGCTCGACCCGGAACGGCCGGCGGTCGCCCATGTCGCCGGACAAGACCACTTTGCCCTGATTGAGCTCCAAAGACAGTGCCGGATACCCTTCGGGTTCGGAAACCGACAACAGGACGGCCGTGGTCTGCGTGGTCCTCAGTTCCAGCGACAGTTCGAGCAACGCGCCCACGTAGTATTTGTTTTCTGAAACAGAGTGCACAGGAGAATCCGTGAAAACAGCGTTGCGAAATTGCTGCTTTGAATACGGTCAGGTCGGTAATTATTACTGTAAATGGCGTAAGCGTCGCCCGGGAAGAACGATCCTTTCTCGACCTGAGGGAAACACTGGCCGACCTGATGGCGGACGGCCCTTTCGCTTACCAGCTCCTCTTCTTGGTGGTTCACGGCGAAACCTTGCATGCACCCCTTGAACGACCGAACGTCCTGGAAAAACGCAAAAATATCATATATATATATATACATAGTAGAAAACGATTACAAGCTAGATCTGATCACATTTGGCTATTCGACTTACCAACGACTCTGGAAGTTGCAAGTTCTTCTCCGCCGGCACGCCGCCAACATACATGGTGTTGCCCAAACTCAGCTTTTTGGTCAAATTCAGTTTTTCTTGCGGTATTGAATCGATAGTGAAATGCACGGTCTTGTTGTCTTTGATCAGTTGAACCTTTACGGGACAAAAACAAAACGTGTCATAAACTGATGTTTGTATAACTGAGAGTTAGAATAGTGATGCGGTTCTTTTTTACCCTGTGCCACATGCCGTCGTTGAATACAGCTTGAGTGGATATCTCCATTCTCTTGCGATTTTTCAACACCAATTGGACCCGGCCGTTGTATAGTCGCATGGCCAGATAGTTGTTCTGTTTGGCCCGGTTACCCTGAAACGAACAAAGCGCGTTCTCATAGTGTTTAAAAAAACAAGTCGAGCTACTAAATTTTGAACTCACGATCAACAGAAAAACCAGTCCGTCGGAATAGAAACTCCTGAAACGGAAATCCATTTTGAAATTGCGGTGCATGTTGTGCCGCTTGGAGAACGACACCTGCACGTAGCTGTTAGGGTTGTCGCCAAACTTAACCGCACCCGGTTCTAGGGAAAAGCTGCCTTCTTTGCCGCAACCAGTCGGCTTCTCCGTCGAGGTCATCGATGCAATTTCGCTTGACACGTTGCCACTCGTCCGGGGTACTGGACCTACCTGACCGATCGCTGCGTGCTCAAATTCAATGGGAGAATCAAAATACAAAAGCCTAAAAAAAAAATACATTTGTCAATTAATTTGGTGAAAAAACAGACTCAGAAATAGGAACAATATTCGAACGTTGAATACTATTGTTACATTCACAAGAGGTGACTAAATCTAAAATTGATCCACTCAAGCCTTGTATATTAGTATTCATTGTTTTTTAAACCACACAACCATTCAATCGAATGAACTTCAAAAAATATAAAACTGCGTACATACAAAATTTCACGAATTCGTGGCATAATAATATTGGTAAATAATTCTTGGCTGACAATATCCTTCTTTATAAAGAAGACTCACTTTTTATGTGTACTACCCTTTTCACTGATCTATATTAACTTTTTAATTTTCTGCCTATTGTGCAGTTTCCGTTTCACACACTTTTAGTCTATTGTGCTTGCATTTACCTCCTTCGTTTTACAAAATAGCTACTACTTATACGGTTGTCTACTTACTGGTCGTTGAAAATAGCGTCTTTGATGGTACCCACAAGGGGAACGCTGGATACGGCTTTGCCAGTGGTATTTATTTCGGCGGGTAGACCACCCAAAAAGAGACCGCCAGCCGCACCAGGTGCTCTTACCACACTCGAACCTTCCGGAAGTGAAGAAAACGAATGAAGTACGTCGTCAATGCGCAACTCCAGCTTTTTGCCGTTTTTGGTCACCATTATCGAATGGTACTTGCCGTCGCCGAACTCGAACCCTTCGCTAGCCAGTCTTATTTCGCCGTGCCCTGCGTTTATCCGGATGTCTACCTGTCCACGTCTCAAGCTCACCGAATAGTAATTTTGCTTGTTCTGAAAAAAATTAATTGAAAATCCTAAAAAATCGCTCTCAGTCCGGTTATTTCTAACCTTTACCTCTTGCTCTATGTTGTTGTTGATTTCTTCTAAACTATTGCTAGTGTTAAACGTGCCAGGCTAAACAGAAACCAGATGAGATGTGGTTAAAAAAACACCAGTAAAAATACCTAGGTAATCTGTGTGACTTACGACAAGCATATCCGTAGTGGACATCATCAATAGTGCGTCTTGCTGTAAAGTGGCGAACATGAATCCAAACGACGCTTTCTTTTTGAGCGTGTGCGAAGTCAATTCTAAGTATCCGTTACCATAGAATCCGACTATAGTCAGAGGCTGTGAAATAACATTTTTTCGGTAAGTGTGTGTTAATACCAATATAAATTTTAAGCGGTCTACTAACTTTGTCCGTACAAGTAGTTTGCACGCCCCACGAATTGCCTCTCATTGGGTTGTACCCTTGTTGGGCTATTTGAATGTCCGACATACATCCTGAAAACGATTTTACCAAACCGTTAGTGGCCTTAAAACCCGGAGGAACGCCGCCTATCATGTACTCCGCCTCTGATAATTCCGGTATGTCGTTTTGATTCGGAGGCGGCGAAGGTACGCCTTCTTTAGACTCAGCACCGACTTTCAAAACTCCTACAATATAATTTAAAATTAAATCAAAAATTGCTGAGTCAATTACCGTAGGTCATTAACTGACTTACCTTTTTCCACTTTTTTCTTTCTATCGAAATACCGGGTAGCCTCCAATCTCGTCCAGGTGCCCACGTTGTACCGGCTGGCGGTGGATAGTTCTAACATCGAGTAACCCGAATAGCTGACTCGGAAAATGACTTTGCCGTCTTGCATTCTTATATCGATAAATTGATCCTGCGCACAAGCCATAATTAGTAATACATATTTAATCTTTGGCCGCCGCTATTCATTTCTTACCGGCTGAGAACCTTCGGCCAGGAACAGCAGAGATCTTTCGTCGAAGGTCTTGAAGTTAAGTGATACGCTGAATAGGTACTTATTGTAGGCGGTAGTACTGTCGTGGTGTAAGACCGCGTAACCGTCACCGGTAAACCTATAGGAACTATCGTCAACCATTTCTTCGGCTCTGAAACGTGCGAATAAGATTACTCACTGAAGTCACCCAACAATTTCGTTGGTAAATTTGTAGGGTTAACTCACCCCTCGATGCAGGCACTACAGGTGCCAGCCGGTTGCGACTTGAAGTTCCACAAGCCGATGGGTCGACCGTCCAGCCACACCTGATGAAGACAACCAATCAAACCCAGTTGTCTGGAATGTAAGTACGACGGCAGAGGCGCCTTGTCGATGCCCCCTATCCAAATGACATCGTCCGAATTGACGTCCAAACGTCCCATGCCCGCGCTAGACATGTTCGTGTGAGGCGAGCCCATGGCCAGAGACGAACCGCTTGGCACCACTTGGGGTCTAATCAGCAACTTGCCGAAATTGTGCACCCGTTCTGCTTCGATCCTGTACCAGTGCTGGTCGTTGTTCAGGTCGCTGGCTGTCTGTATGTGCATTGGATGTGTAATCTCGCCAATGCCACCACCAACGTCCCACACGAACCTGATCTTCCGGTTGACCATTTCGATTGCCACGAAGTCACCCTATTACGCGAATGTAAGTTAGCATGAAACTTCTACTGGAAAATATTAGCAAACTCACTGTGGTTTTGCTCGATAGGTAAAAGAGCAACGCGTCCCTCTCGTTAGTACTAATTGCATAGGACAACACGATCGTAGTCCTAGTGCTGGGCTCTAAAAATTTCGGTTGGTATGTCCGAATGCAAACGTTGTCGGTGTCGTTTTCTTTACCGGTAACCGATATACGGATCTAAAACGAGTGATTAAAATTCTTTATTTCAGTAGAGTGCTACCTAGTCAAGTGTTTAAATGTTTAGGAGATAACAACACTCGTATAATACGTACAGGTGACAAAAAAAAAAAACACTCACCCCGTCCGCGATTTGATGGGCTTCTGTGATTTTGTTACGCAAAGCTTCCAATTTGCCAGCAATTGTGTCATTCCAAGATGCTAATTTTTTACCAAACTCTTCGGTAGACTTAACGACTTTGTCCAGTACGTCTAAAACTTTTTTGCCGTTTTCTTCAGTCTCGTCGACTATAATTTAACAGATAAAATAATTCTATGGTAGAAGAACACAAAACTATCTACAAGAATAATATAAATTACTTTTATCCTGAGCAATCGTTAGACTGGGTTCACCTTCCTCGTTAAGCTGAAGCAAAACCGGACGCAGCCTGTTATCGATGTTGTTTTGAATTTCATTAATTTTGGTCTCGACATTAGCCAACGTGTTCATCAGCGGGTCGACATCTTCTTTGCTATTCAGTTCTATGTTCATTCCTTAATTGTAAAAAAATAATTACAACATCGTATATTTGAATGTATAGTTAAGTAAATTAAACTGTGCGAGTAACGCACCTTCAGATTGTTCGAGCTCAATAATTTGTTTCGAATTACTATTGTCGATCTTGATTATTTGCTTCATATCGTTTTTAACAGCTTCGATTGTTGTAATTTCTGCGTTGAATTTCGACTGGAAAGTATCGACTAGTTTTTTCACGTCCAGAGTATTTTTATAAACGAGCTGGGATAAATCTTCAGCTGCTTTTGATTTGTCCACAAGTGATTCTTGATACACTCCCGGATACGCCTGTATGATACAATCAAAATTACACTGTGTGTTTAGAGATAGTTGGAAGGCTCAAGGCAATTGAAAGATTCTTGATGGGCAGTTAAGTAAATTTAAACGACGTATAGAGCAGAACTACCGTTTGGAACGAAGTGTCAGCCAATTGACTAGCGTTGATAGCCGCGTTTCGAGCAAGCTGAAGGGATTTGACGATATTTAAATAAGCGTTGCTTGCTTGAAGCGTGACGTTGGCGTCGTGTTTGATAGGTTTGAACAATCTAAACAAAATATTACATAGATTAAGTATATTTTAAATGGCGATTACGAAACAACGTCGTCAAGGGTAAATCTTACTCTGCGTATTTCTGAGCAGTTTGCAAAAGGTACTCCGCATGTATTTCTGCCGAATTCACCAAAAGCAGTTCCCCGTCTAACTGAGAACCAATGTTTTTGCCTCTGTTGAAAGGTTTTCTGATGTTTTCAAATCTGGGTTTAATGTCGGATAGTTCCTGCAAATTGACATTGGTGATAGTCAAGTTGTGTTAATATAATGTTTTTTTTATAAGTCTGTTACAGTTGGTGATGGTTGTTTTTCTTACTTCGAAATTGTCCATACTCGCCAAATAATTTTCTCTTGCTGTTTTCACAGCGGCCACCATGTCACCGTGCTTCGCGTTAAAAGACAACTCCATTCGATTAACGTCCTCTATGATCCTATTGACTGTCCTCAGTGACTGTTTATTTTGCTGCTTCAGTCGGTTTACCTAAACGTTACACGTAAGTGTTAAACATGTATTAATTAGTACTAAAGGACTACATAACACAATTTAGCAAAGCTACCGATTCTGACGCGATGGATATGTTGGATAGGATGGCGTCAAAGTCTTTCACTTGATTCAAAAGAGTTTCAAATTTGTGTTTGAGGTTAACCGTCTGAGCTTCACTACCCGTGTTCAATTGAAGGTTTTCCATGGCCTCCGAACAAATTCTTGAACACAAAAATTGTTTTTCTTATTGTATAGGTACATGGAAGTGATTTATCAACGATATAGTATATACTGTATACATAAATATTCTACCTAAGAATGGTTATGGGCTCTACAGAAGGTTCAAAATCGATGTTACTTATTTTGTTCAAAATGTGTTGAGCTTCTTTCAAGGTGCTTGCAATATTCAAGCGCGCCCTCTCTTCAACGCCATAAGTCTGCAAGTTGATGACTAGTTCTAAACAAAAATCATCGAAGGTTTGTAATATAAAGTTAATACCTTGTCTTTAAAAAATATTAATTCAATAATCAATACTTTTGTCTGCACTATAGTTATAATATTTTAAATTGTTTGACACTGAACATTCGATAAATTAGCTGTTTTAACAATTTGCCTAATCACATTGTGATTTATTTAAATATTTATGTTATAAACTAAAATTCTTCTACAGTAGTATATTTTTTATAAAAGTATTCGCCGATTATTAATTGTAATAAGCAGGGTTTGGGACTTAAATAATTAACTTATTTTTATGGCTTGACATAAAAATTAGCAGAGGGCTATGAAATTTTATGTCATATTATAATGATTTTAAATATGAAATTTGCTTATTTCGATGTTTTTTTCAAAAATATATTTTTTCTAGTTTTTCTGCTCTTTTTGCATACTTCATACTTTTTGACCTGTATATTTTGATAATTTTAAGTATTTATAATTTCTGAACCCTGGGAACAATATTAATTTGTAAATGCTATTTACCGTCTACTTCTCTCTCTAGTGCCATGCTATTTGCCAATCTACTTTCGGCCGACTCGTATAGCGGCCGTATATCGTTTTCGATAAGCTGAGACGCTTTTAAGGACTTCTTGGCCTGCGTTAAAAACAGAAAAATGGTTATTTAATTTGTACACAAAACATAATCGAACGGTGTAAGAGCTTTTCGTTTACCTTGACGAAAGCGTACTTTATTTTCTTCTTAAGGTTCTGTTCCACGTCGTCGGCTAGACCGATCAACATCAAATCGGCTTTGGTAGAACTGTTTAGCATGCTACTCAAGAACGTCACATTGGTCTCGATAAGTAACAGGTACGACCACGGAGGAGATATCATTCCTTCGGCCAGATTAACGGTTGTTTCGTTTAGTAATTTGATCTGACTAGATACGTCGTCCAGCAACGTGTCTATACACTTGTCCTCGCAAGCTGAAATACGTAACGCGTATAAGTTTCTCTATTATGTCATAACTACAATTTATTTAGATAATTTATCTTACACATGCATCCTTTGCTGGTTAACACATGTTTGTTCTGACATACGGAACAGTCCCGGCCGGTAATGTTCGGCATGCAGTTACACTGACCAGTCTCTTCGTCACACTCGTCGCTTATCATGCCATACTTGTTACAACGACAAGGTTCGCACGATCCGCCTTCTTTTCTTGGATACCCAAACCAACCGTACTCGCATCTAGTAATTAAACATTTTATGCGTTGTGTCTTGAAGAGACTAAATATGAAGTGCGGATGCTGGCTACTTACTGATCGCACATGGGTCCTTTATAGCCTGGTTTGCATTGGCACACTAGTGTTCCTTCGTAACCTATCTCACACGATTTAGCAAAATTTTTGTTAACCGACGGGCACGGACACGGCTGACATCCTTCGCCAAACGGATCGCCATAAAATCCTTCGGCACAGATCTCGCAATGGGCGCCACCGGTGTTTTGCGTACAGTTCTGTCGAAAAAAAGTAGAAATGATTGAAAAGTAGTTTATTACTCAGACAGGGCCGAGTCTTGATGGTATACACAAAAATTATTTCCGAAAATAGATTACAACATAATTTAAACTCACCTCACAATTTCCTGTCTCGACGTTGCACACGTTCGAACGACCATTGCATTGACATTGTTTAGCCTCGCCGACGGTCTGTATTATAATAGTTGCACTCACTGAACTGTTATAGTACCTGAAATATCCGAGACTGGGATCTTGGCAAGAAGACGACTGGTACTCGGGAGGGCATTCGCATACCTCGACTAACTGAGAAGCAGTCAAGTGAGCGGTTTTCCTAGCGGTCATCGTCGCCGTCTCTAACCATACGTCTTTTAAACTGCAACCGGTTACAAGCATTAGCTCAAACGATGTTCGTTATAATACTAATTACAATCATAATAATTGTGTAGCATGCTTCTAGTACTCACGTGGCGCGGGTAAAGTCAACCGAATCGGTGGCTCTGATGAAAATGTATTTGATATTTTGCAATGCGAGCATCAGTATTTCTCTACTGACTTTGGCGCCGGGATTGTTCTTGATTTGCCACAACGATTCATGTAGCCTGAGTGATTTTAATAATAGTTTAGGGTTAACAATAATTTAGGTGAAGAATGGCGAATTGAGGAGTGAATGAAGTGCGGTTTACTCTACCTTACTTGATGACTGGGCCCCGTGTTAATGGACTGCGGGAAGTGTTCTAGTATGATATGCTCGTTTCCTTGAATTTGTATCAGCGGATAAGAAGTCAAAATCAGTTGCGGGAAGAGAGTGTTTCCACCTTCAGCGTCTATAGTGAAGCGTATGTAGCCGCCGTACGATGAAACCTGCACACATACGAAATATCAAAGTTTATAATTTATTTATTATTCTCAAATCGTTCATCCATACTGACCTTATCACCGGAAAATCGATTAGGCAGTTGCCAATAAACAGGAGTGTCGAACAAGTATTTTACTCCCATTTCCACGTTACCCACAGTCCCCGGTATAATCCTAAGGTTGTTGGTGATGTTCAACTGATTGCGTTCTATACCACCACTCTCGGGATTTGCCAGCTTTGTTTAACATTTAAAACTAGATTAATGTAACCAGATGAGGAGGTCAAGAATTGTCACAACTCACGTTGATGTAGCAGATTTCTTGGGTATTGACAGGATAATCGCCTTCACTGTACAGCGTACTGCTGTTGGTATCATAATGAATAGACAGCGTACGGGTTTGCGGGAGTCTAATTTGATTCCACGTTAGACCTGCTGCCGAACATGAACTACTTCGACCGAAACAGAAGCAAGGTATGCAACCATCCGCATTCATTTGATGCAGCCCGAATGTGCCCTCTTTACATTGGTCACATCTCTTGCCATAAACATTCATCTAAAAAGTCACAGGCACCAAAATACTGTCAAAGACTGTCCTCTTTTTATTTTTGTATAAGTTACATTGTAATGTTTTTTTAATTTAAAATTTTGTATAGCAAATTATTTTAACAAATTAATTGAAATTAAAAGCTTACTTTGCACTCGCACTGGCCGAATTCATCGCAACCGCACAGTGTTCCGTTGCAATTGTTTTGTTCGCTTCCGGCATAATCGCATGCACATGGCCTACACCTGGGATACCCGTAGTATCCAAACGAACACTGATCACACTTGGAGCCGCTGTAACCAGTTCTGCATACGCACGCTCCGGTCTCGTTATGACAAAAACCGTTGAGCGATCCGAAAGAATCACACCGGCATTCCTGAAAATATAGTCTGTTAATGGTAACTATATTTTAATAATTACTCATCGACCTGGTGTACCGACCTGGCATCCTTTATATTCTTTCCACCCAAAGCTGATGGAAACGCACTGACTACAATCCGGACCTTCGGTCAGTTGAGGACATACACATCTGCCTGTGTCCATATCACATACGTGGCCCTGCTTTTCACATGGCTGGCATTCTTAAAAAATCAATTTCATCAAACGTTAGACAAACATTGATTATACATCTCAATTATATACACAATTCGATTATACTGACCCGAACAGCCCAGAATGGAGAACCCGTAGTAATTGGGCAGACACTGATCGCAATACTGTCCACTAACTCCTGGCTTACAAACGCACTGGCCCGTTATGGGATCGCACATTCCGTTGACGGCACCTAATTCATCGCATCCACATTTTTGGCAACCCTTGTCCGTAATGTTCCAATGTCCTTCCTAAAATAATACGTTTGTTAGTACTCGATATTCCACAATGATATTGTTATTGCAGTTTAAAAGTAATTAGCTGTTCGGCTTACTTTACACGAATCGCATAAGCTGCCAGTGACGTTTTGTCGACAATTACATTGGCCGGTTACAGGGTCGCAGCTGTTGTTTTCGCTTCCGGTAGTATTGCACTGACACTCTAAGCAGTAATATCGCAATTAATAAGGTATCGTACAAGTTTAATAATATCGCGATTTACCGACACAACCCTGACTGGAGAACGAATGGAATCCTTCGATGCACGTATCGCAACTGGCTCCGGTTATTCCTTTTTTGCACGGACAAATGCCGGATCTGGGGTCACACAGGTCCGTTATGGAGCCGATATGATTGCAAGTACACTCAACACATTTGGCGGTCGTATTACCCAAACCATCCTGATCAACGATTTTTACATTATTCAATTTAAGTATGTTAGGGGCAATTTTGAGCCAAAGGTTTATTACACTCACCACGCACCGATCGCAAGTCCTTCCAGTAAAATTGTCTTTACACTGACACTGTCCGGTGTCCATGTTACAAGAGTCCGTTGTTATTGAACCAACCGGATGACAATCACACGCTACAAACCAAAGCCGTTCGGTTATGTCGGTGAAAACATAAATATTTTAAGATGTCTGCTTTATAATATACTTACGTCTGCAGTCGGAAATAATAGGGTTACCAAAATGTCCGGGTTTGCATTCTTTACAGTTCCAGCCGACGGTATTTCCCAGGCAGTTAGTACACTGTCCGGTCGAGTTGTTACATGGAGCGCCATTGCAGTCACAAGGCTTGCACGTTGAACCTTCGATCATAGGATTCCCATAGTACGTAGAAGCGCACCTATAAATCAATTAAGACTGTTAAAATAACACGAGCAATGAGATTTGTTGAGATTTCTTACAGTTCACAGTGATCGCCGGTGTGTCCTTCGGGACAATTAGTGCACATATATCCTCCAGATGAGTTTGGCTCGCAAGAACCATTGAAATTGTTTGGGCCTTCTTCCAGAGGACAAGCGCACTTCTTGCAGTCTTCCGACGTACCCCAGGTTGCATTACCGTAGAAACCTGGCAAGCATTCGTTACACTTGGCACCGGTCGTGTTGTGTTCGCACACCTATAAACACCGCAAAATAGTATGAATAAATTATTACACAATAAAACCTACAACAAATCGAACCCATCCGCTTACCGAACAATGACCGGTGAGTTGATCGCACACCGGCGAATGACCGTGACAGTCGCACTTCTTGCACAGAATTCCAGGTGAGAAAGGGTCAATGTGTTTGACAAAACCATAGTCGCAAGCCTCGCAAGAAAGTCCGGTATAGCCAAAAGGACACGAGCAATTCTCTATGTCGGAGATCAAACGTCCTGTACCGTTGACGTGACCAAGAGTAAGGGAAACGTCGTTCAAACTGAAATGGAGAAAGGTTAGAATAGCATAAACTGATTATAGTTTCCGGAAAAAGCTCACCTGGATTCCACTTGGTCCGTATGGTATTTGGCTTTGATGAGCACGTGCTTGACATCGGACAGAATCGATAAAAACTCGTCGCGCGATACTTCGGCGTTGTCAAGAGGCGTCTCGAGATTTTTAAAGTCTTTGGTCACATAAAACCAATCTTTTTCCGTCAAGGCAACGTTGCCCATCACTTCGTTGGCTAACTTATCGTTTTTGCCACCGTATGCGATCAAAATGTTATCCTTGGCCTAAGAGTAAATTATTGTGAGAAATTACCTTAAACATCGCGGCTTAAGTACTCGTTTTAATTTAACGATATTTTAATTAACGGATTGAAATATCTTCTGCAAATCCAAATCTCTCTTAGTGGATAAAAATTTAACAAAAAAAATTTTACTCGACAAATCTTGTGATCCCGAGAATTGCTTTGAATTTATTTTTGAGCCTTTGTCAATAATTGTAGTTTAATGCATGTAATTACAATTATTTAAAACATTATATCATAATTTTGGTTCGTATATTAACTTGAGCATCTAACTTCTACTATAGACTGTACTTACAATTATTACAACGTCGGGGTCAAGCAATTGTCGACCACTAGAATCACCTCGCATTAAGATCCAAGATACGGAAAACTTCAAGCTGGAACCGTAAGAGGTCAATTTATTGCCGGTAAAATTGTCGGGCGATAGCCAATAAAAACTACTGTCGGCGCCAAATGGTACGTCAAAACTGCTGATGTATACGTGCCCCGTATCAGCATCCGTTGACGGAAAAACGGTCTTCGACATCTTTAGGTCTGTTACCAACCACCCGTCAGGTAAGCTTATCTGTTGGTGTGACAAAAACCTATTTCAAATGGTATCCTTCTACCTGACCTATAATCAGTTATCATAATATCGACTGTCACTTACCGAAATCTCTCTAAGACCGACTGCGTTATCGCACGTCGTCGACACGCCAGAACAAAAGCATTTGTCACATCCTTCCGGGTTCGAAGCATTCAGGTTAAAGTACCCGGGCTTGCATCGATCACACTTGTTGCCATTGACGCGATCCTGATGATTTAATGGCAAAATGGTAAAGACAACCTAACAGCGGTATAACATTATCGTCAAAACTCACTTTACAATCGCATTGGCTGTCACAAGTCAGAGGAGGCGTTTTGATTCCTCGTTCGTCACACGCACACGGTTCACAGTCTGGAAACCCGCTGTAACCCGGAGCGCATTCGTCACACTTGTCACCGGCGAACCCTTTGAAACAATCGCATAGTCCAATTCCCTATGTAAAATTAAAAACTCCGATGAATATATTATAAATTGTTTTCGTATGATTAGAATATCGTTACCGTATCTTTGCTGGACACACAAGTTCCGTCAGAACCTTCGGGATGACACTCGCAAGGCAGACATGGTTCGGGATCGTCAGGTTCTATGTCAAGCGGTCTGTACCATCCGGTCTCACACCGTTCGCAATTGATGCCAGTTGTGTGTTTCTGAGAATAAGAAAATTCCATTATTCATTCCCAGACAAACACCTCAAAGGTGAGAAGAAGAATTTGTCTTACCGAACAATTGACACAGACTCCACCGCCCGAATAAGTGCCGTACAGGTCCAAGCTAGATTTTTCAGCGTCAACCGTCGGGTCATAACGGCATTCGGTCGCGTGACCATAACACTGACACTGTTCGCAAGCAGTCGGACCAGCCTTCCACGGTCTTTGATTGTAAAGCGGGCTGCATCTGTCGCAATTTTGACCACAAGTATTGTGCTGACAGTCGCAGCTGGGTTCCTGCGAAAACAAAAATTAGTAATTCACATATACTAATATAATTACTGCAAAAAACCACTTAACGACGACACTCACGGCTGTTTCTGAAATTTGTTTGCATTTTTTGGCGTGACCGTGACAAACACACCGACCGCCTATGAATACGTCTCTGATCGAATAGAACAATTTCCTCAAAATCGAAGTGTCCATCACGCCCGACTTATCGTTGGGATAAATGATTTTCTGCAGCCTAAACCGAACGAGCCTGGCCGTTGTGAAGTTCAGTACGTCTGGAGACGATAAACTTATGCTGCCGTGTCCTTTCAACAGGTTTATGTGTATCTGTAAGGGATTGGCAACCGGTATTGTTATAGAATATATTAAAAATAGAAAAAAAACCTTGGTTAATTACCTTCCTCCCCCCTAATAATATCTTAAAAAGAAAATATCTATAGCAGTTTTTACTCTTCATTAATGTTTAAATAACAAACAAAAGTATGTTTTAAAAATTCACATGTATTATATAATGCATTTTTATAAAGTATAAAAATAATAGTGAACTGTTGACGAAATTTGATGCTGATACGATTAATTAATAAGCATTTTTTAATTTTGTTTGCTTTTAATCTATTTTACACTTGATTACGATATCAATATTATGAAATATTAGTTCTATACTAAACGTTTTGGATGATATTTTATGTCCAAAAAAAAATTAATACTACGATACGATATATACAAAGAAGCAATACATTTTTTTTTTATACAGTTATTAATTATTCTTTCTAAATATTTATTGAGTAAATCAAAATGTGTTTTTTCGGCTTTTGAAAAAAAAATTGTCTTTAACAAATGTGTTATGAGCACCATATTTTGTATTTTAATTAAAATCACTTATATTACCATTACAAAAAAAAACTGTCCGTTTTGATATTTTTTATATAGTAATCAATAACATTTGTTTTTATTTAAATAACACAAAACAAATTTCATAACTTCGAAATTCGACAAAGTTTTGTGTAGGGGTACTAAACGATCAAAATGTATGTAAGTAAATAGTAGTTAGTTACTCGATAGTATTGAAAAAAAAAACTAAGAATAATATGTTCACTTCTGACTATTGTACAGGTCGGTTACACCTTGTATAAGTGAACACTTGGATAAATTCTGAAAACGGACTTCTCAAGGTTTTCGGGTAGACGTTATAAATTATCTTTTAGATGTCGCTATATATATTTTTTTTTTACAATCAGAGCGTTGCGTTTTTAACACGATCCTGAAAGAAGAATGTGCGGTATACATTGTAATCGTGACTTGTTTATTATGACAAAGTGGAAATAAAGAAAATAAGTTTTATATTTCATCAGTACCTCTCCGTTCTCGTGCGGTTTAAAACGCGAACACGAAGTAACGCAAGTGGGATTTCGGTTTACTTGTACGATCTTGTCTTTGTGATCGCCGTTGTGTGTTGCCGGTTGAACGCCATACTTGTCAACGCACTCCTCATTGTTGACAGCAAAATATTGCCACGGTCTGAAGTGTGACCCTTCGTCGTCAGTAGACCGTTCCAAAATCCAATTGCCCGGCCTCGACGATATGCCGAACTTGATTATGATATACGACACTTGGTACACCTGAACATAGAAAATACAAGACGTTCAATGTGGCATCTGTGTAGGTTTAACAGACAAAGCCGTTTAAAAATGTTTTTTATTCGTGTAGAACAAAGTGATCCCTGTTTTACATTTTGACTTCTCCATCACTCCGAGTGGGTCAAGCCCTACCACTCTAGGATCTTACAACAAAAAAAACGCACCATTGTTCGCAACATCCCCAATCGAATCACTTCTCTTAATCCTCACTCTTTGTGCGAATTTTAGCTCGTTCCTTTTTATACTTTATTTTTTTTACCAGCAAACAACCATACCTCTCATATCTTTTTTTTTTTGTTCCTATAAATCTCAAAACCTCATTTATCCATTCTTTTACGTTTGTAAAGGTTTCCATCAGTATCGCAATCTATTGTCAATAATTCGGCGTAGAACAATGCCCGTGGTTTTATGTTGAAAAATTACACAGCAAAAATATGTCAGTTTTTTTTTAATAATTCATATTTAATTTTTTTCTACTGTAAAGACAAGTAACACCTATATTGGATATCTTACAATATTGATACAAATTTATATATATTGAGATTTAGCATTGCAGTTTGTTCTTAGTACCAGAGGTGGAGTTCAAACTAAGTTCCGGTCGGAAATTGCACTTAATGCGGGTTACCCAAAACCATTTGAATGGCACAGGGGAAAAACGGTAGTAGTCACATTATGACATTTTTTTTCAATTCGTTTTTTTTAAATTTATGCCATTATTTTTTTAAATTTATGTCAATAGATTGTTTAAATAAATACATTCATTATTAGAGTAGCATTTAACGGTTTTTTTTAATCTTATTTAAGAGGGAGAGGAATTCACGAACTTTGTTTTTGCAATACTTTAAAATTTTCATAATGTGACTACTACCGTTTTCCCCTGTGCCCTTCATTTGGTAAAGGAGATTATGAAATTATTTTATTATATTGGCAACTTTTTATAGACTGTAATGATTTATAACTCATAATCAGCACAAAATACATCAATTCTATGTAGTTTGTCTCGCTTAATCGCAATTTAGGGTTAAATTTGTTATTTCTATAATTACTTCAAACTATAAAAAAATAAGATTTATGTTAAAGTTCCACTAGACTCGAATCTTATTTCTTAAAATCGCGTGACCTACAATGTATAATAGGTTCTGCATTTTTATTTTTATCATTCCAACTTCTTAGGTGAGTCTGTTCACGGGACACCAAGAACTTTTCCTCGAAACTTATCTAATAAAAACTCATATGCCGTTTGTCTGGTAGGTAAGCGTGGTTTTGACGAGTTTTCGAAAAGTTAACCGAATATATTTGTTCTTATTGTAAATCACTGGGTGTCTGGTCGGCTCGCTCACAAGTAGAAAAATTGAGTTTTTTTATGATAAACGGAAAACACGTTTCAATATTTTTATTGTATTTCCATTTTTTTCTCTACACATTTGATCATACAGTTTAGGAATTCAGAGCGCCTATAATAATTTAAATGTGAACGAACAGCTGGTCGTGAGCGTGCGTGCAGTCAATATATTTTGTTTTGTACATTAACATACTATTATAATATCGTCTTGTGTATATACTGTACACATGCGTTTCGTTTGTATAGCCAAGAAGAAAAATAAATATGTTCGATAGAAGTTATTGGTGTTTACATTTTTTACCGACTTTGTTTTACACAACTCGAGAAGTCTAAGAAAATATATTCGATTTGAAAATATATTTATCGAAGAGCAGCGTATACCAGTGAAATAACTAGGATTTTATTCTAGAAGCTATGCGAGACCACACCACCTCATAAATAAATATTTTATTCAATATAACGGGGTTATAAATCTGATTGTGACTGTTTTCAAATTTGTATGGAATATTTTTTAGATATCATAATATCAATAAACGTTGACAGCTAAAAAAAATAATAAAAATCGTATTCTCTAAAAGAAGTGTAGATTTTCTCTTTATTTCGTTTTTATTTAGGGTTTTATGGCCATGATTAAAAAAATTAGACTGAAGTTAAGCTAAACATAAACAATTTCTTAAAAATCTGTAGTAAAACGTTTTTTATTAAGGACAAACAAAAAAAAAGAAAATTACACTTTATTTTGTGTGAGTGAATAAACAGTCATAAAAAATATTGTCATTATATAATTTATAAATTAAATAACTGTTTAATATATTATACATTTTCATTATGTTAATTTGTTTTTATTTAATATTTATTTATTCATCACACTTTTCCCCACCAAAGATTTAAAAATATGCCTTATAAGAAAATATATTCTTTAGTTTAGCTTAACCGGTAACAATAAAAATTGCCAACATTTTGGAACGGCAACGATTGTGTCTAAAGATTAAAATACACAATATCGTTTAATTTTAATAATATTGTATTTTTTAAAGTTTTTATTTATTTATGACCAAAGAACTTTTTATCAAAAAAAAATTGTCACATTGAGAATTGTCGAAAAAAAAAATAATGCTGGAGCCGAGTCAAAGCGAGTAGAGTTGGCACGATTCGCGCAGTCTACCCTCCGTCTGCCAGTCGGTTATTATTTTGAAAATTTCGCTGATCCCCCTTTTTTGGCTATGCGAGCGTCGTCTCCTTTGTCCAACGTTTTGTTTGTATAACCGCAAAACGCCTTTGAGATCCGAGACTGTGAAATTCTCGCGGTATTATGCGTTAGATTATTATTATTTTCCAGCGCAATCATCTTCGCCCCCTAAACACCTCTCCCTCCCCTTCCTTGGCTGCCATTTCTTTTCAACTTTAACGGAGGGTTTGGTTTAACCGCAGTACGGTGCGTGTGTGTGTGTGAACTTGTATACAACACTTATATATTATAATTATTATAATATGTATACTCTGCGGTAACCTATAAGAACCGTTTCGACCCAACGGCCACTTTTCATGCTACCTCGAATAAACGTCGTGGATCAGATCTAAGGAGACGGGGAACAATATTGCAAGGCAAAAGCTCGTCGTGCCTCTCTACCATTATATACCTACCAGGGATGTTTAATAAAAACGACTAGAGCCCTTGTCGCGTTTGAAAATGTTGAAAAATCCTTTGATTTTGACTTTGATTTAGACACACCAGGAGACACTATAGTATAGTGACTATACCGTGTAGGAATGTCGAGCCCGGTGACCTGGAAGAGGGGTCGTCAGGCGAGAGGAGAAGGGTCATGGGGAGGGAATTGATGGGGCGGGAACAAGAAAAACTGAACGACCAAAGTAATATTGTGCAACGGCAACCTACACTTCGGTCGGGTCTTAACCATACGACCATTTTTCTTTAAAACTAATTCCAATAACTTACAGATCGTTTCACCCGGAACCATTCGAGATTCAATAAATAAAACTTAAGCTATAATCGAAACGATAAAATGTTTATTATATGAAATTATAACAATCTCCTTCTCGTCTTCTTCTTTGCCTTATCCCATACAAATGGTAGGCATGAAATTATAACACTAAGAACTACAATAGATCAAAATAATTCTGGTATTAAATTTTGAATAGCACATACAGATATTGTCTAAATGTTAAAAGATGTTCGTCAAGGGTATATTGTACGGCATACTAAGTACTAAATAAGTTTATTATTTATAAAACTGAAGCTATTATAGCTAGACTTTATCAAAAAAGTAATAAATGTATTTGTTGTTAATGAAATGGAAGTAAGAGTATGTACTTGAAATAAAAATGTCGGGTCATAAGAAAAAAAGTTGCTCCAAACGAACGAAAAATGAGAGTGAACAGATAGTGATAGTGCTGGTAGGTACTAGGTATGTCAAATGAAGAGAGGATTGTAAAATAATAATAAAACAAGTAAGTAAAAGAGTTTACATTAGAAGGATTTAGATATAGGGTAGGTACATTAAGAAGTTGATGATTAAAGATTTTCGGAGAGAGAGATTAGTTTTGGCAAGCTGCTTTATTCTTGTATGGGATAAGGCAAATAAGAAGAAGATACCGTTGTAAGTTGTAACTATATAGATTGCCAGGAATTTAATTTTGATTATAACTCATATATATTTTGTGTAGTTTAAAAATAGTCGATGCTATTGTTTACCTACTGGAGACTTAATCGCCAGTAATAATAAAATTTAACTAAAAAGCATTCCTTCGAACGCAAGTTTATGATCAAATTTTATTAAAAGGTCGTCGGATCGTTTAAAAATGGATATTTGTTTTCGAAATCAGATTTTGCACGGTACAATTAACAGCTCAAACTCGTAGAAACTTATTTTTTTCACTGTATCACGCATAATGCATGTGTAAGGGTTGTTAAGTTCGATGTGTAAAATATTCTGTTAAACTTTTCCTCGCTTGTATCTTACGTTAAAAGTGTATACTCGGAAATTGTATTAATGTATGCACTAAGTTTTTCACAACTTTGCCCTTGTGTTTTTTTAAAGTTTAATATTCCAAACGGTTATTTTATCAAACATGCTCGACATTTTTCGAATTTTGTTAATATGTCATTCGACGGGCTTGTGAACAATGTGTTGAAGCGATAGATTTTAGCTTCGATGCGGAGCTGAGAAGGTATTGTTTTTACAATGTTGTGTTTTTATTTTTGTTTCTGGACCCACGATATCTCGTAAACCGCTGAACCGATTGCTTTGTGTAGCAACTTTATAGATCAGAAATCATACTCGGAAGGTACTTAATTGAGCCAAAAAATTAAAAAAAGTCACCCTTTCCCATCAAAATCGAGAAAAACACCTAAAAATTTACAAATTTTTCAACTTAAAATTACGATGCTCTATAACTTTTTTAAAAATAGTCGAAAATGTTCCAAATTTATATGAATTGTTCTTCAAACATAGTACTATCGATAAACATTAACAAACCAAAAAAATATCATAAACCCTTTCCCTTAGAAGGGATAGAATTTTTTTCTTTATTTCACTTTTTCAAGTAAAGTTTTAAAGAAATAGATCTGAAAATTAGACCGAAGGTAGATCTAAAATGGATTTAACATATACAAAAATCTGTAGTCAAATTTTTTTTTTATTAAGAAAAAACCCAAAAATAGGGTAAATTTACACTTTGGCCGTAGTCAGTTTCTAGGTTGCTATGTGTGTGAATCAACAGTCAACAGGTAATGAAAATATTTTCATTATATTGTTAATTACGATACATGGGTAACTATGACAGTACATTTTTGTAGACAGACGATCAACCCTTATCGTATCCACCCTGCACAAGACTAAATATTAAATTTTAAGTACATTATTGCTGGTCCCACGATATCTTTTAAACCACTATAACACACTATAAAACTAGTTTGAACATACTATCCACAGATTCACATCGAAGCGTTTATTTAAAAGTGATTTTATCACTTTCAGTTATAATAAAATCTGTAGACCTGTGACCGCTCCGACCCCACTATGCCCCGACACCATTGTACTGGCTTTTTTTTGGTTTTTGTAAATGTATATCGGTTTATATTGTTGTTTAGGTTGAATAAAAAGCGCACTTTCCTGAAGGGGATGGTCGAGGACCGCGTAATTGCTTTGCGAAAATATTCGGAATAAAAACTTTTGAAAATGTATTATTAAAATAAATTAAATTTGTTATTAGTTATTATTTAACGTTGGCGATGGGCAATACGATTTTTTTCAAAACGGCGTTTTGGAAACGTTCCAACTAATCGACCGGCAAGCGCTCCTTTTGATGCCAGAACTCATTCACCGTTTCCTATTATTTGTTTGCCTCGGGAATGGCGTTTCAAAGCTGCAATTACCACGCAGTCACATTGTTTATTCACTATTTATGTCTGGTTAACCGAGAGCATCCGGATTGCTAATATTTTATTTTTATTCTCTCGTTAGTGTTTGTTTTTACGATTTAAAGCAGATCGCGCCAACTAGTCAAACATTGTCTTGAAAACTATATTATAGCTGGTGATCCCTTGTAACATTTAAATATCGATAATCATCGCAAACTATTAATCTGACAACATTGGCATAATCCCGTTACAGCTAAATTATTACAGAGACGCATTTAGCATTATACCTTGCACTGGGGTGTACACGGACACGTTTCCGGTCTTTCGGTGTCATAATTTATCATAAGGTTTCCGCTGTGCCCATCGTTTAAGACCTCCGTGGTTTGTGTTTACTTTTAAATAACAAACAACACTTAAAATTTGACACCTGAGGCCCACGCTTTTCTGTCCTCTTAAAAATATGTCTCTGGGTAAACAGAAAGAGCTACACGCCTCTTTCATCACCCTCCTGGTTTCGACAAAATAATGAAAAAAAAAAAAAAAATTATGACTGCTATAGGTTGAAATCCAACATCTGAAATACTAGACATTAGTTTAATAATTGAAACGACTTAGCAGTATTTTAAAATATTTTCTCATTGTTAGTAATGAACATTATTGTACACCGAATAATTTAAACTCCACCGTATACGAAATTTGTTACTAATGTTTTTCGTTAGTTAATGTTTATAAGTGACCAAGTACCTAGTACCTATTTACTAAACTTTCACCCGGTAACCAATATAAACCACAGAACAAGCTAATATATCTACTCAATATTTGATGATGATATTATATCCGTAACAGCTGTTGATACTGTGTATGTTTATAAACACAACAGTATAAACCCCGGTTTATTAGTGTTGTTCAAAGTGATTATCGTCTTCCTTTATTTTTAACTTTCCTAATAACTAAAACCAATAATTGTTTTAATTATTATACACACACTGCCCACTGGTAAAACAATTTTTTTGTAACAATTCACTGATTTTTTTTTGTTGCGTTTTTTACAGTATAAGATCTTTGTAAAAATATATAGACCAAATAATTGCAGACAAAATATTTTAAAACACTAATGTATTGTTTTTCCAAGACACCGAAACAAAATCGTCAGACAACTACATCATCATACCTTGGTTTACAGAAGTATGTAGAATAAACAAAATTAACGATAAAAGTGGATTATCAATATTATGGTTTTAAGTTAATAGGTATGCTGTTTAATAATTAAGAACTTTTGAAAAATATTGGTATTAGTATTCCACTAATTGTTTATACTCTTGTTTTCAAATGTATATTTTTTATGAAATCTGTTCTGGAGTTTAGTAATATATTTGATGTATGTTTTTTACAAAAATGGTTTAAAGAATACACATAACAAAAGAAATGATTGTTTGTTAGTATACAAATATGTTTTTTTTTTTTAATGAAAAATGGAGAATTTTCTAAAAATCACTCGACCTTTAACAGTAAATCCTAAAACTAATATTAACCCTGTGTAAGTATTATGGCCCATGTTTTTTTCATTACAGTTCGGAAAACGCGTTTAGATGTATACAAACTAATAACTATATTCATACAATATATTTAAATTGTTTGCCGTTTTGTTAGCCCTCGCTGTGTGCATTTTAATATTGCGCTTGTACCCCAAGTAGAGTTTAAACATGTAGGTAAGTCGATACACGCAAGTACTATTATTATTATTTTATCGTTGAATACTACAACAGTAATAATAATAATATATTATGCAAACACACGTTGAGCGGCAGTAGAATTTGAACGAAACGCGTTTAGCATGGACCAATATTTGCACAAGGCGCGAAAATGTTTAAGTTTGCGAAAAAGCTTTTTCGAAAAACACTGTAGCTAGTATATTTTATTATAATAATGTGACACTTAAAATTGGTATGCACGCCGTGTGTTTAAAGTGTGTTCTTGAAAGCCGAAAATGGTTGCCTTTAAAAGCAATAACGATTTTATCGAGATTCGTTGAATTAATAACAAAGTATTTGCAATTCCTTTTTAACCTTACACGACTTACAAATTTATAGTCTCTCAAATTGGATTCACCTATTTTTCTTTTCTGTCGGATAGCGCCGAATCGAGAAAATGCAATATACAAGCTTCTAACAAAGAATAAGAAATAGCTTTAAAAAAAATGCTCTATCCTTTTTTCAATTGTATTGTGCTTTCACCCTTCTACATAAACCTACCCAATCATAGAATACTTTGTTCTAGCCTTATCTATGGCATAACTCAGTCAAGTCTGATTCTCAGTTATTAACTGTTGTCTAACTAGAGTCAACATACTAAGTTTCCAGTTGAGAGTAACGGATACTGAAAGATCCTTTCTGATAATGTTTTGTTATCTATCGATAATGATTTGTATTGTAAAATACTATTTATATTTGTAAATATGAAATTTTATATAGTACGATCTGTCTAAAATGTTTTATATATTTTTATCAAAGAACATATTTTGTAATGAAAATTAAAAAAAGTTTAAATGCGAAGGCGTCCAAATTTTTAATTTAATATTTCTTAAAAATATAAGCATTATCAGAGAAAAAATACCTTTTAATATGAATTATTTTCTCAGTCGTTTATACAAATTAATCTCGATAGCCTTATCTTTAGTTTTAATATGAGTTCTTGTACGTAAATTGTGTCATGTTTACATAAATCATTTCTTCTATAAGTGAGGAACTAAACATATTTTGTAATTAAAAAAATACTGGTTTTTCAAACTACCAATCATAAATCAATTAGTGTAACGTCGTCTGATATAAATGTAGTACTAATATAGATTTGAAATTTTTATTTCTTCAGTTTGGGTCTTGGAAATTAATTTTTCAATAATTTTGTTAAAGTTTGTACAGGATGTATTGCAAGAAAAAAATATTGGGGGTATACCATGCATCGACTTATATAACCTGTGCCAGCGGAGACGATCATTTCAGTGTCAGTCTACAAGTTTTAACGGAACGAGTAACATCGCACCAGCAATACATTACACAGAAGATGGAAGATGAAAATCTTTTGAAACGTTGGCAAAGCCATTGTGTAAGGATAGGCTGTAACCATAAACTTTGTAGATAATTTAATTAATTTCCAGTACCTATAATATTTGTATTTGGACACTTGTAATTTACTAACTATAAGATCAATTTTATATCATCCAGACTTTTGGAAGTTTGTCTTAAAGTTAATTTTACTCACCTGTTTCAAGTCTATGTTCAATGTGACGTATTGGTAACGGTCACCGGTTTGTAGTGAAGGACTCTGCCACCAAGTGCCTGTGCTGTTATCGACCATTTTGCCTGGCCCATGGGCTTTGGCTGGGTCTCCTGCCCGGGCGTCACAAACACCACACGTTTGAACGTTGCTGGCACCGCTGAACCGACAGTAAACCTCGGGACCACCATTTTCTGCTTCCCCGCACGTGGCGTTGGCTGTTACCAGTGCCCGAGACGCCAAGTTGAAAATGGACGGGTACAATGCCTTTCCTTCTGTGTCAAAACCAAATCAATTCATTAGAATAATCAAAAACACAGTTTTATATGTTGATCATAAAAAGAAAAATTAAGATAATCAATACATGTCGGCTAAAAGTTTCATCTCTACAAAGCTAGGAAACAAATTGTTACTTTACTCGACACGGGAGAAGAACACCGAGATTTTTTTATGTTAGTTAAACGAAATAAATTAGACACTTTGACTGACTATTCGACCTAATAATTAGATACACAGTCTGGAATTTTTTCTATATTTAGCATCTTTTTCACACAATTTTAGACAAGTGTAATAAGTACAACTTTATTTATAATAGCAATTAAAATGTTTACAACTCATAGATAAAAGAATACGATACATATATGTGTATAACAATATACCTATGGTCTATATAAACATAAAAATATGAACAATATTCAATTACACAAAAATAAATGATTATGCTATTCAAATGTTGATTCAATATCCATTATATTTCAGTATTTAATGCTTCAGTGGTGGCATCGCTAGTGTCCGCATTATTATCTTTTAAAGTTAGCGTGAACCTTATAAACGATTGTATTGCCTCGAAGTTAAAATCTCTCCTAAACAGTTGGATGAAATACACAAAAACTATGGCACTCAATACGCTAATAGTTAGTGGACGTTTTGCCGAAGCAATGCGCATGCCGTAAGTTATATTCATACTTTTGGAAATGGCTTCAATGTTTTCTAAAGATTTTTTAAGGTATTCTTTACCCAGGGACGTGGGGTATAAGAGTTTGCTATCGTAAAATTCCATCGATAGCTTATTTAGACTTGTTGTTACATGTCTGATTACGTCTTCGTTGTAGGTTAAGTTAAGAAAGTTCAATATAGGACGATGAAATAGTCTCCTTACGTACACCAATTCGTCGTTGTTATGCAAGTTCAAAAGGCTCTCAAATTTTTTCAGTTGAACGGACATACTTATATTGAAACGAGCCAAAGTAATGGGGATGTACATCAAAGCAAATTGCAACGGCGTGCTCACCACACAATCACTTGAACACAGCAACAGCTTGTTAACAAAGTGCATGTGCTTTATGATTATCTGCAGTATAATGATTTTCAATAGACAAATAAATTTACTTTGGAATCGTCTAAGGCTCGTGAACCGTTCAATAATGTGTTGGTTATCTTTTATCGTGTTGTAATCTTGAAACATTTTGCTTAACGTCAAATCACAATCGATGAGCTCTCCGAAATCGCACACTAAGTATTTCAATTTATTTTTAGCGGGATTCATCAAATTACTTAAATTCAGCCGATTCCATGAGAAATATTCTTGGCCATAATTCATGCCATTCAACTTTTGATTGTATGCTATCTGATAGGCGACTTTTTGTGCGTGTGCTAAGATCGACGAAGATATCTCTTCAAACGAATCCTCAGATTCCTTCAGATCAGATTTTCTGAAATTTTCGTTTGTGTAGTTGGATGTAGTGTTTGGATTACATTGAGTCAAAAATTTCAAGAGGTTCGCTTCGACGTCGTTACACGTGGACGACACCACTGCTCTATTGTACTCTACATCGTCGGTTACTAACATTCTAAAGTACACCGAGTACATGTATATCCACCAAATAGAATCCATGGACGCACTCTGACCGTAGTTTTGCAGTATCGTTAACATAGACGAGGCTGAATTGTCAAAAAAAAAGTGTGGTATATCTTTGATAACATTGAAAGTCTCTTGGTTTCCGTTTTCAATTAAATATCGACTGAGCTGGACGTAATGGAAACCTCTAAAAGTAAAACTGCACTTGAGGTCATCGATGATCTTGCGTTCTAGCTTTTTGATATCGACCTTTGTATTTTTATCTGACAAAGTACTTACTAAATCCTTTTAATCGTATCCCGTGTCTGTCTCTAGTATCGTCTTGTATTCTTTATCATCGTCTAGACAAAAACCTTGGTTATCTACACACAGGCACGCCAAAGTCGCTATCACCAGTAAATGTTTCACTGAAGTCATATTTTTTTGTACCTTAAATTACAACAGTTATCCTAACGTAATGATTTTACACCGAACCCAAAGTAATTTACCATCAGCACATGAATTGTTTTTTTGATATTATATAGTTTCTTGCATAAAAGATACCAAGGTTATATGATAAGCAATGTTAATTTTATTTTTTATCGTTCTTTCAAAACAACAACACTTGTTCCTTAAAATGGTTTGGTAATAATTCAGTATTGTTTTGTAAAACTTATAGCTGAATATTTACATAACCAATCCAATCCAAACAATGCCTACCTATAACGTTTTATATTTATTCTACACAAATGTTTTACTTATTTTTTTTTTAGCTTTAATGTCAAACTACGACGGTCTTAGTTTTACAATGATATATTTTTTTGTTTCATACTTTTGTGTTTGGATTGACGATAACTTTTGAACTTACTCGATCTTTTAATAATACGGCCTTTATATTAGAAATATTGCACCGAATGTAGTCAAAAAAGCAGAATATAATGGGGGTATTTTAAGTCTTAGGATCTATAAAATAAAACGATTATATATTAATTATGATAATGTGTATTTTTTTTTCATGAGTTATTAAATACAATAATGCTTGGCAATATATGATATTATAACACATTTAAAATTCAAGTTTTAAGCATTTCTAATTAGTTTTCCTTGTCGCTATCTCCTTCTTCATTTTCTGAATCAATTTGTATTACATCTACCATACCCGAGAATCGAATAAACGATTGAATGATACCGAAGTCAGTGTCTTTTAAACTGGCAACCAGGAAATCGACAAAAACAGTAGCTCTCGTGAGACTATCTTTAAATGGAAGTATTTCCGAAGAAACTCCCTCGTCGACCATTATTCCCAAGCGTTTAGTCTCCTCTTCAATGTTTTTTAACGATTGTTTCACATGCTCTTCGTCATTGGGTTTGGTGAATATAAGTTTGCAACCTTCTAATTTTCTTGAGAGGGGTGGCATAGTCTTAACGATTTCTATAAGGGCATTTCGAAAATCAGTTGACTTAAAAACAGAATGCTGAAAGAGGGATAGTACAGTCACGAAGTCATCGTCGTCGGACCTTATGTCTAAGAACTTTAAAAACCGATGTAATTGAGTAGACATTTTCATAATGACACCGGTTACTGTGGCATTATCGTGCAACAAACTTACGCAGGATTCGGGGAAGAATATTTTATTTGAAGTCCGTAAACACTCAATAATATATTGGATGTGCTTTTTGATAATTTGGAGCATAACGATTTTCAATATAGAAATGAATTCACTTTGATATTTCGCAAGACCTTTGAATGTTTCTTCGAAGTCTTCGCTACCAGCGATTTGGCGGTAGTTTATGACCATTTTCCTTAATGTTACATCAATGTCATCAAAATCGCCGAAGGTGCGCATAATGTAACCCAACAGTAACACTTTTTGATCCATATCCGTTTGTTTGATAGCAAATCCGGTATGGGTGTTGCCAGACAGATTACTACTTGAAAATCCGGCATTCCATTTAAGATCGCCGGAAATCGTATCAATTAGATTATTGATGGCAACAAATCTACGTTTACTTAAATATTCGCTGTTTTGCTTTCCAAAAGCGATCAATTGATCATTGAAATTGTTGTTTTCGTCACAAACTTTATCGCGTACAGAATCAGAGAGGCCCTTTTCGATTTTTAAGCAAAACGAAGACACGGTTTCTGGATTGTATTTTATTTCACCGCTGACCATCTTTTCAAAGTACATGGCGTACATGTAATTCCACCAAACCCTGTCCAATTCTGAGCGTTTGGCATTGAGGCGCATAAATGTAATCATCTCCGTGGCCAGGTCCGAAAAATATTTTGATATTTTATTTACCTTTTCAAACTCTTTTCCGTTTTCCAATACACTACGTGTTAGCCAAACGTAAAGCAAACCGCTGTACAAGTGATTGCACGTGAGCGCATGGCTCACTTTCCTTTTTAGTGTTTTTATGTCTGCAGGAGTTAAATTTGAAATATCCAAATTAGGTTCTTCTTTTGGGTAACCCGTGCGAATCTTTAATAGTCGGGTATACTTAGCAGGTAGATTATCAGTTCTAACACAACGAATCTCTTCGACCCACTGGCCCAATAAAATCATCGCGATTAATAAATACTTAACTGACAACATTTCTTCTATAGATCGTTACGACAACACAGAGACAATGGTTTTAACAGACTGTTTGATATTTTAAAAGGCGAAGCTATTCGTCGATTCTTTTGTTCTGCTTCGAACAAATAGTATAATATACAAATATACAAATAAAATAGCAATATCTGTTGTAGTTGTATTCTTATTTGCATTAGCTATGTGGTACAATATCGCAATGACAATAGTATATTTTGTTTATAAATCATAAAATATATAATATTAATAAATTTAAAACGTATTATATTTAAGATTTTTGCTGTTATAAGGTTTTTTATTTTATATTTATCGCTATTTTATAGTAGATTATAGTGATGGGAATTGGAAAATCCGGATTTTCACAAAAAAACGCTTTTTAAGCTACTTAAAAATCATTTAAGTGTTAAATAATTTTACAATATAAAGCTCTATATCTAAGTAACATTTTTTTGATAAATATGAATTTCGGATTTGTTGAAATCCGAAAATCCGAAATCCGAAAGCATTTTATAGACAAAGTTAAGAGTTTTTTTTTTAAATTTTTATCAACAAATTTTACTTAAGTACACATCTTTATATTGTAATAGTGTTTAACACTTATATGATTTTCAAATGACTTAAAAAGCGTTTTTTTGAAAAATCCGGATTTTTGGATTCTCATCACTAGTAGATTACTATATTTTATAACTGAATGTTTAGTATTTTCTAGTTTTATTTAAAAAGTATGTCATTACGACTTAAGTACACCAAATCGACCTATACCTATTTTAACCATTAAAAAAGTTTATCTGTTTATTTTAAACGCCAGTAGTATATTATACCACAATTATAGTTTTATGACAAA